GGGTCCTGTTTTTTAAATTGGTCTACATTAAGGTCCAAAGGGTCCAAAATTAAACTTAGTTTGATTTTAACAAAAATTGAATTTTTGGGGTTCTTTGATATGCTGAATCTAAACATGTGTTTAGATTTTTGATTATGGGACCAGTTTTCAAGTTGGTCCAAGTTGGGGTCCAAAATTAAACTTTGTTTGATTTCAACAAAAATTGAATATATGGGGTTCTTTGATATGCTGAATCTAAACATGTATTTAGATTTTAGATTTTTGGCCCAGTTTTCAAGTTGGTCCAAATTGGGGTCCAAAATTAAACTTTGTTTGATTTCAACAAAAATTGAATATATGGGGTTCTTTGATATGCTGAATCTTACCATGTATTTAGATTTTTTATTTGTGGGCCCGCTATCAAATTGGTTCATATTGAGGTCAAAAGGGTCCAAAATTAAACTTTGTTTGATTTCGTCAAAAATTGAATTATTGGGGTTCTTTGATATGCCAAATCTAACCGTGTTTTTCGATTTTTAATTTGGCTCCTGTTTTTTAAATTGGTCTTCATTGAGGTCCAAAGGGTCCAAAATTAAACTTAGTTTGATTTTAACAAAAATTGAATTCTTGGGGTTCTTTGATATGCTGAATCTAAACATGTGTTTAGATTTTGGTTATGGGCCCAGTTTTCAAGTTGGTCCAAGTTGGGGTCCAAAATTAAACTTTTTTGATTTCAACAAAAATTGAATATATTGGGTTCTTTGATATGCTGAATCTAACCATAAATTTAGATTTTTTATTTGTGGGCCGCGCTATCAAATTGGTTCATATTGAGGTCAAAAGGGTCCAAAATTAAACTTTGTTTGATTTCATCAAAAATTGAATTATTGGGGTTCTTTGATATTCCAAATCTAACCGTGTATTTAGATTTTTAATTTTAAGTCCCGTTTTTTAAATTGGTCTACATTAAGGTCCAAAGGGTCCAAAATTAAACTTAGTTTGATTTTAACAAAAATTGAATTCTTGGGGTTCTTTGATATGCTGAATCTAAACATGTGTTTAGATTTTTGATTATGGGCCCAGTTTTCAAGTTTGTCCAAGTTGGGGTCCAAAATTAAACTTTGTTTGATTTTAACAAAAATTGAATATATGGGGTTCTTTGATAAGCTGAATCTAACCATGTATTTTGATTTTGGACATTGGACCATAATAGGTAAATTAAAAAAATTCAAGTTCTTAGACCACATTCTTTCTGTGTCAGAAACCTATGCTGTGTCAAATATTTAATAACAATCCAAATTCAGAGCTGTATCAAGCTTGAATGTTGTGTCCATACTTGCGCTAACTGTTCAGGGTTCGACCTCTGCGGTCGTATCAAGCTGCGCCCCAGCGAAGCATTTTATTTTAGTAATAAATGAAAGTAATTTTGTCTTGAGTATCAATTAGAAATAACAACATCATGAAAGTCAGATTTTCTTCTCCAATAATAATCCGTTGTTTTGGTTTCAATTCCTTCCATCGGAGTGCAGAGTTTCCATAACTTTACTTCTTGGTTAGAATTTCTGGCTGATAGTAACTTATGTGTGCATGCATAGTTTTGTTACCTAAGGTGTACGCCTATTTTCAAAAATATATATATATATGTTAGCGGCAATAAGTGAAATTAGGCATTAAGCTTAAATCCTAGGCAATAAGCTAACAACTAGGCATTAAGTTATTGCCTGAAATTTCCAGGCATTAAGCTTATTTCCTGAAATCTGATGATGATAATTCAACCTATTGCCAAACATCATTTCAGGCAATAAGTTAATTTGGTGATTTTTGTTTATCTTCCAAATACATGTTAATTCAGTGAAATATTCTTGATGAATAATATTTCAAAAATTATATTCCAAAAATTAATATAAACCAGAGACATATGTCTCTGTATAAACTGATTTAAAAGATATTCATCTTTTAGTATTTTTTAGTATTTACTCTTATTTCTTTGTGGTATTGCTCTTCAATGGACTGGTCGAGCCATTTTGAGCTGGTCAAAATAGACAACTGAAGATATGAAATTTTGCCAGTCACATCATCTTTCCATCTGTTTTACCGTATTGGATATGTAAATTTTCTTAAATACCCATCTGAACTTTTCATTTCTTAATCTGGATTATTAGCATTTAAGAAACCAAAAAATCTTGAATTTTTGCAGAATATACCGGTACATTTGAATCAGGGAAAACAAAGATCATATACCCATGGCAAAAGTATAATGATCATTTGACAAAGATTAAACTTTCTAATCAGAAAATAAGGCAATTATAGACTATTACAATTTAAAATGGTACGACAATATTTTTACCATAATGCAACATTTATGGTTTGAAAGACTGGTAACTAAAGTAAAAGAGAAGGATGAGGTAAATTTCAAAGTTTATGTTTTTCTAGAGGAACTGTATGGTATTTTGTGATAAACACATAAGAAAAATGTCAAAGCGGCCTATTATTATCAGAGACTGTACGTAGAATTAAACAACCTATATGGCTTTGCAAACATTTTTCATGGTTCCATTGTACCATTTCTTCCATTTTGTGAAAATTGTAACATGATAAAATGTGCATAGGGAAGGGAGTAGTAATAGAACCCGTTTTATCCAAAGAGTTTTGCAGAAGAAGACAGGTTGATTTAATCGATTTACAATCAAAGTGAGATGGAAACTATCGTTTCTTATGGTGTACCAAGATCACCTAAAACACATATTTCTAAAGCTCTTACGTCAAAAAGTGCTTCAAAAGTGGCTTCTAATTTAGTTTATGTTTTCACAATATTTGATGTGCCACATAAACAGCTAAGTGACAAAGGTCATGAATTTACAGCTAAGGTTATATCTGAATTAATGCTAATGTGGCCTGAACTAGTTATTGTTCATGGGAAGCCAATACATCTCCAATCACAGGGTAGTATTGAGTGGTCATACCGAAATATTCATGACATTTTTACTGCATGAATGAGGAACAACGAGGTAACAGTGGTCAATTGGAATCAAATTCGTCCATATACAAAGGAATTCTGCTCTACACAAAGGTATTGGACGATCACCAGGTACAAATGATAGAAAAAATTAAAACTATGAAATACTCTGTGTCACAGCTCCGCACCAATTAGTAACTAGTAAATTTCAAAACAAATTTTCTATCAATATTAAAATAAGGAGATTTAGTACGATTGCCAATGAGACAACTATCCAACAAGTTTACAAACATTTTAAGAGGTTTATTCAATGTGTTTTGATATCAATATTTTACTTATGGTTTTATTTCATGTTATTGACCTTCAAACTTCAGTTCTTATTACTTTATTATGTACAAAATTTATTTTAACTTTGAATAAATTTCTTTTAATTTACTCTCATTTTATACGACCGCAAAAAATTTTGGTTTCCGGACACTAACTTTAGTAAATGTAAATAGAAATCTATGAAATTGAAACACAAGGTTTATAACCACAAAAGGAAGGTTGGGATTGATTTTGGGGGTTATAGTCCTAACAGTTTAGGAATTAGGGGCCAAAAAGGGGCCCAAATAAGCATTTTTCTAGTTTCCAGACAATAACTTGTGGAACAGTGTATGGATCTCTCTGAAATTATACCACAAGTTTCCATACCACAAAGGGATGGTTAGGATTGGCTTTGGGTGGGGTTATGGCTCAAACCGTTTAGGAATTAGGGGCAAAGAAGGGGGGAAAACAAGGGTTTCCTGGTTAATGGACAATTAAAAAAAGTACAATGTTAAGTTTGGATTACCTCCCTTACACTGCTTTTAAATTATGTATAAAGAAATGTTGTATTGTCTTGGTCTTGAGGTGATTAGCTGTCAATTTATTTTTAGAAGTTACTATTTAAAAATGCTGATTAAGGAATATTTAATATATTAATTTTAGCCATGATAATTATGTCATATGTCATTTTCTATTTTAAGACTTTTATGATGTATTTAAATGGGTAATTATGGTTGCAAACTCCATTTGGAAATTTGAATTGAGATTTTGACCATATCTTGAGGTAAAGAATTTTTTTTTGGAAAAGGGGGGGGGGGGGGGGAAAGAAATTGTGAGGGGGGACAATTTTTTTCTCATTTCCGATTTCAGAAATTAAAAAGAAAATTTCTTCAAATATTTTTTTTTTTTGGAAAAAAAAGGGGGGGTGGGGGGGTAAAAATTGTTTTTAATTATTTTTTTTCGGGGGGGGGAGGGGGGGGTCAAATCGCTAAAGCAAAGTGTATTGCACAAAAGCAAAAAAAGAGGGGGGGGGGGGGGTAAAAAAAAATTTTTTTTTTTTTGGGGGGGGGGGGTCATTTTGCACTAGCATAGTGTATTGCACAAAAGCAAAAAATTGAATATAAATTCAAATCTTATAACCAATTCTAAGTTCTTTGACTACAGTTATTCTGTGTCAGAAACCTATTATGTGTCAAATATTTAATTACAATCCAAATTAAGACCTGTATCAAGCACGAATATTGTGTCCATTTTTGCCCCAACTGTTCAGGGTTGGACCTCTGTGGTCGTATCCAGCTGCGCTCGGCGAAGCAATTTATCATTTTAGGCATTAACATTAATGCCTGGACATAATTTTCAGGATTTAAGTTTAAATCCTAGGATTTAGTAGTAATGCCTCACATTATTTAGGCAATAGACTTACTGCCTAGGCGTTAGCTTATTGCCTAGGATTTAAGCTTAATAGATATAGTAAGATGTGGGATGAGTGCCAATGAGACAACTCTCCATCCAAGTTACAATTTATAAAAGTAATGCCTAATTTCACTTATTGCCACTAACATATATATATCTTATATTTTTCTATGACAATGCATTATTAAATTGAATTTATGATTCAAATGTCATAATTATAAATATGATATGATGCTTAAACTTTATAATTTCTTATTTTTGTGTAGACTTTTTTCTTAATTTGAATTTAATTGCAAAGATCTAGTATGATGAACTTTATATAATTTTTATTTTTTCATTTTTCCAGATGCACCAGCTTCCTATATTCTCCATATATTTAACATACAAACAGATGATCAAGGATATTATGAGTGTTCTGTTGATAAAACAAACCAGACCTTAACATACCAGCTTCAGATCATAGGTAAAGTAAATTAAATTATGTTATAAATTGCACATTTTTATACGACCACAGGTAGTATTAATTATGTTATGGTATTGTCTGCGTCTGAAGACATTTTGGTTCGCAGATAATAACTTGAGTATAAGTTCATGGATCTCTTTGAAATTTTAGCACAAGGTTCCATACCAGTAAAGGATGGTTGGGATTGTTTTTGGGGGCTATTGTCCTTGCGGTTTTGTAATTAAGGGCCAAAAAAGGTCAGTTTTACTGGTTCATGGAAAATAAATGGGTTCGCAGACAATCACTTTAGTGTAAGCAGATGTAAGAAGATGTGGTATGAGTGCCAATGAGACAACTCTCCATCCAAGTCACAATTTCTAAAAGTAAACCATTATAGGTCAAAGTACGGTCTTCAACACGCAACCTTGTGGATAATCATTCAAACGGAAAACCAACAGTCTAATTTATATAGTGTATGGATGTGCAAGAAATTTTAGTACAAGGTTCCATACCACAATAGGAAGGTTGGAATTAATTTTGGGGGGTTATTGTCAAAGCGGTTTAGGAATTAGGGGCCAAAAAGGGTCTAACAAAAACAATTTTTTGTCAAGTTCACAGACAATAACTTGAGTATGAGTATACGGATCTCTATTGAATTTGAGCACAAGGTTCCATACCACAATAGGTTGGTTGGGATTGATTTTTGGGGTTATTGTCTTAGCTGTTTAGGAATTAGGGGCCAAAAAAGGGTTTAACAAAAACAATTTTTTTGTCAGGTTCACAGACAATAACTTGAGTATAAGTGTATGGATCTCTATTAAATTTTAGCACAAGGTTCCATAACACAATAGGAAGGTTGGGATTTATTTTGGGGGTTATTGTCATAGCTGTTGAGGAATTAGGGGCCAAAAACAAGCATTTTTCATGTTTCAGGACAATAATTGGTGTATAAGAGTATAGATTTCTATGAAATTTGACCACAAGGTTCCATACTTCAAAAGGAAAGTTGAGAATGATTTTTCGAGGGTCATGGCCCATACCTTTTAATAATTAGGGGTCGAAAAGGGGCAGAAAACAACTATTTTTAGCTCACCTGACCTGAAAGGTCAAGTGAGCTTTTCTCATCACTTTGCGTCCGTCGTCCGTAAACTTTTACAAAAATCTTCTCCTCTGAAACTACTGGGCCAAATTTGACCAAACTTGGCCACAATCATCATTGGGGTATCTAGTTTAAAAAATGTGTCTGGTGACCCAGCCAACCAACCAAGATGGCCACCATGGCTAAAAATAGAACATAGGGGTAAAATGTAGATTTTGGCTTATATCTCTGAAACCAAAGCATTTAGAGCAAATCTGACATGGGGTAAAATTGTTTATCAGGTCAAGATCTATCTGCCCTGAAATTTTCAGATGAATCGGGACAACCCGTTGTTGGGTTGCTGCCCCTGAATTGGTAATTTTAAGGAAATTTTTCCGTTTTTGGTTATTATCTTGAATATTATTATAGATAGAGATAAACTGTAAACAGCAATAATGTTCAGCAAAGTAAGATCTACAAATAAGTCAACATGACCAAAATGGTCAGTTGACCCCTTAAGGAGTAATTGCCCATTATAGTCAATTTTTAACCATTTTTCGTAAATTTTTGTAATCTTTTACAAAAATCTTCTCCTCTGAAACTACTGAGACAAATTTAACCAAACTTGTCCACAATCATCATTAGGGTATATAGTTTAAAATTGTGTCCGATGACCCCGCCTGCGAACCAAGATGGCCGACATGGCTAAAAAATAGTACATAGGGGTAAAATGCAGTTTTTGGCTCATATCTCTGAAACCAAAGCATTTAGAACAAATCTGATGAGGATAAAATTGTTCATTAGGTCAAGATCTATCTGCCCTGAAATTTTCAGACCCTTCAGGCAACACGTTGTTGGGTTGCTGCCCCTGAATTGGTAATTTTAAGAAAATTTTGCAGCTTTTGGTTATTATCTTGAATATTATTATAGATAGAGATAAACTGTAAACGGCAATAATGTACAGCAAAGTTAGATCTACAAATAAGGCAACATGACCAAAATTGTCAATTGACCCCTTAAGGAGTTAATGCCCTTTATAGTCAATTTTTTACAATTTTCATAAATTTTGTAAATTTTTGTAAATTTTTACAAAGTATTTTCCACTGTAACTACCGGGCCAAGTTCATTATAGATAGAGATAATAGTAAGGAGCAAGAATGTTCAGTAAAGTAAGATCTACAAACACATCACCATCACCAAAACACAATTTTGTCATGAATCCATCTGTGTCCTTTGTTTAATATGCACATAGACCAAGGTGAGCGACACAGGCTCTTAAGAGCCTCTAGTTCTGGTTTGCAGGCAATAACTTGAGAAGTGTATGGATTTCTATTCAATTTTAGCACAAGGTTCAATACCACAATATTAAGGTTGGGGTTTATTTTTGGGGTTATTATATTAGCTGTTTAGGAATTAGGGGCCAAAAAGAGCCTAACAAAAACAATTATTTGTCTGGTTCACAGACAATATCTTGAGTATAACTGTATAGATCTGTATTAAATTTAAGCACAAGGTTCCATTCCACAATAGGAAGGTTGGGATTTATTGGGGGGGGGGGGGGGGGTTATTGTTGTAGCTGTTTAGTAATTTAAGGACCAAAAAAGGGGTCAAAAACAAGCATTTTTCATGTTTCAGGACACTAATTTGTGTATTAAGAGTATGGATTTCTATGAAATTTTACTACAAGGTTCCATACTTCAAAAGGAAAGTTGGGATTGATTTTAGGGGTCATGCATATGGTCCAAACTGTTTAATAATAAGAGGCTGAAAAGGGGCCAAAAAACTAGGATTTTCTGTTTTCTAGACAATAACTTGAGTATAAGTCTATTTATTGCTATTTAATTGTGCCTCAAGGTGTTATGACCCTATTGGTTTTAGTTTAAAGGGGCCAAAACCAATACTTTGTATAAATTGCATATTTTTTTAGCAATTTCAATGGGGTTTAGTTCAAAAGTCTTGAATTCTTGGGAGTCTTTAATATGCTGAATCTAATTGGATATTTAATATTTGGATTTTAGGGTCTGTTTTTGAAATGATTCATATTAAGGTCCAAAGGGTCCAAAATTAAACTTTGTTTGGTTTCTTTAAAAATGAAATTATTTTTGTTCCTTGATATGCTGAATCTAATTGTTTTTTTTAATTTTGAAGCCTGTCTTCAAATTGGTCCACATTATGGTCCAAAGGGTCCAAAATACAACTTTTTTGGATTTGAACAAAAAAATGGATTGGTTCTTTGATATGCTGAATCTATGCGTGTATTTAGATTTTTGATTTGGGGCATGGTCGGCCCACATTAAGCATGTTAAGGTCCAAAGGGTCCAAAATTAAACTTTGTTTGATTTAAAAAAAAAATGGTTGGGGTTCTTTGATATGCTGAATCTAAGTGGTATTTAGATATTTGATTTTGGGCACAGTATTCAAGATGGTCCAAACTGGGGTCCAAAATTGAACATTGTTTGATTTCATCAAAAATTAAATAGTTTGTGTTATTTGATATGGTCAATCCAACGGTATTTTAGATTTTTTGATTTTGTGCTTGGTTTTCAACGTTGGTCCAAATTTGGGTCCAAAATTAAACTTTGTTTTTTTGGGATAATATAATGGTATGATGTTGTCGTCTGTGTCGTTGTCCGAAGACACATTGGTTTCCGGACAATAACTTTAGTTTAAGTGAATGGATCTCTATGAAATTTTTTTAGAAGGTTCAATACCACAAAAGGAAGGTTGGGATTGATTTTGGGGATGATGGTCCCAACCGTTTAAGAATTAGGGGCCCAAAACAAGCATTTTTCTAGTTTCAGGATAATAACTTGTGTATAAGTATTTCGATTGCTCTGAAATTGTACGACAATGTTTAATACCACAAGTAGAAGGTTGGGATTTATTTTAGGGGTTATGGGGCCAACAGTTTTGGAATTTAGGGTCAAAAAGGGGCCAAAAACAAGCATTTTTCTAGTTTCCAGACAATAACTTGTGTGTAAGTGTATGGATCTCTCTAAAATTGTACTACAAGGTTCCATACTACAAAGGAAAGGCTGGGATCGAGTTTTGGGGTTATTGCTCCAAGGGGGGTTTCAAAAAGTTGGGAGGGGGGGGGGGGGGGTGTTTCCAATTTTTTTAGAGGATTCATATTTTTTTTTTTCAAAATTTTTCAAATTTTGAATTTTTGAAAAGTTTCAAGAAGAAATCTTCAATTGCACAGTATTGCGCAATAGATTTGTAAGATCATTGACCACTTTTATATTGTGTCCGAAATCTATATTATGTCAAAAATTTGATCACAATCCAAATTCAGAAAGTATCAAGCTTGAATATTGTGTCCAAATTTGTACCAACTGTTCAGGGTTCGACCTCTGCGGTCGTATCAGGCTGCGCTCAGCAAAGCATTTTATTGAATTTGGGCCCGTTTTTTTACACAAGTTTACTAAACGAATTATGGTATACCCTTTTCCGTCCGTCTGTCTGTCTGTCCGTCTGCCTGTCCGTCCGTACGTGTTGCAAAATAACTCAAAAATGCTTTAATCAATTTGCATAAAACTTTGTTGCATTGTTCATATCTATTGACGTGAGCTTTCTTTCCATTTTCATTAATTTTTGATTTTACGTTTCCGAGTTATGGGGTTTTATTCATTAAAAAAGGGGGATATTCCAGTTTTCAGACAATAATTCAAAAATGCTTTGAGCATTATTAATGAAACTTTGGTGAATTGTTTATATCTATTGACAAAAGCTCCCTTTTGATTTTTATAAATTTCAGATTTTACATTTCTGAGTTATGGGATTTTATTCATTAAAAAAGGGGTGATTTTCCTGTTTTCTGACAATATCTCAAAAGTGCTTTGAGCAGTTATCATGAAACTTTGGTGATTGGTTTATTGTCGAGCCTAAAGCGAGACATAGGGATCCTACATTCCGTCCTCGGCGTCCACAAATATTCACTCTGTGGTTAAAGTTTTTCAAATTTTAATAACTTTCTTATACTATTTTATACTTTCGTCCTGGAGGAAAATGACAGCTTAAGTAATATTGATAGACGGATGCCAAGTGATGACTTGAGACCTACATGACATGTAAGCACATAGGAGACAACGAATGCCAAGTGACGCCCCTAACACATTGTATGTGATCCTGGATACTAATGTGCTTTATGATTACCTCAAGACCTCTAACTTAAATTTGGAGATCCTCTTATATAATAGTTTCTTCAAGTGTTGCTCTTTAACCCTGGAACAGCTGGTGCCAAATTATACTCAACATAAACATGTACATGTATATACAACATGGGACCAAACGCTACAGTCTCTCAACTTGTCTTTAAGATGAAGAACCACAATTACTGACCATATAAAACCAGAACCAGACAAATGACTAAACCTGACGCAAGTACTTTGACAAATTGATAAGGCTGTTGATAACAAAGGCTTGATAAAGTTTCACTTTTATTATATAATATAAGTTTGCCCTTTGGGAGTCAGTATCTCAGCTGGGAAAATTTTGCTCCAGGCCCTGTCGACGACACTTGGTATAGTGGGTAGCCAAGCCCCGTGGACATGGACACTCCGCCAATCAACTGGAACGCAGAGGGTTCCAAAAGGGGATGAAGCAATGCTTCATCTCGTAGCAGGGTGCTACGAAAAGGGGTTGAATTGACGGTGGAGAGATGAAAAGTAGTTAATTACTTGGGGATAAGAAGAGAAATTAACCAGTGGTGAATTTCTTAATGGTCCAAAGATCAGATGTGAAACAGCTGAGTGACCCCCAAGGAATTGAATAGGAAAGTGGTTGTAAGGGGATGGACTTAAAGTTTAACACCTTGGACACCTTCAATACTTCACTGATAATGAAAGATAGAAATAATAAAATATGTATTTAATCATATGAATCAGTTTTTAAAATAAAACAAACAAATACATGATATTTAAAATACTCAAATGTTTAATATCTACAGGTATGTATTGTACATGTGCAAATGTACACTATATGGTATAAAATAAGAATAAAAGCAAAAATTATTTTACACAGGATATGACATAATGGATAGATACAAGAATCATGATGATAACTTTTGTTGTGCCTTTTTAATTACATTTTTACTAGTTCTAATATAGCGACAATAACTATTAGAATTCCATCTACCTAATGTTTTAATTAAGTGATCCTCAATATTAGATTTTCCAGCTGTTGTAGCAGCTCCAATTCGAAATGAATGTCCGTTAAAGGACTGAGGATTATATCCACAGATACCCAAAAGATGCTTTAACTTGCTGATGAAAAATTCTCTTTCTAGAGCTTTACCTGATTCATCAATAAATAAAGCACTATTATTTTGAAATTTAAACATGGTTTTCCTTACAATCAAATAATCATGTAAAGCTTTAAATGGACAACAATCATGATTTAGCTTGTGAAGTTGAATATCAACAACCATCCTGAAAGGGTCAGTCTTAGACTGCTTTAAATGTAAAATAACATAGTCAGAATAAAACAAAGCATCAGATATACATAAATTGTTGTTACAATCAAATGATTTTGACCTGCGAATTGTAAACTCGCCACAGCGTAAGAAACCATAAAAAGCTACTGTAAAAGCAGTATATAACATCTGGTCAATGAAAGGTGAAAAAATTCCTTCTTTAAGCTTAACACATAAATGTTGAAGGATATCAAAAGTTATGGGTAAGCGATCTTTAATGATCGGTTTCTGTAATCTTTTTAATAGAATTAAAAAACAAGGACAGTCTCTCTAAATTGTTACTAGAATCATTGAAAGGAGAACATATATTGTCCTTCAAGCATCTATGTCTAATTCCACATATGTATAGTTTAATTGTAGAGTACTGTAGTTTGAGATGTTGAAAGCAATGTGTAGCAAAATATATCAATAGATCTTCTGACACTGAATGAGGCTTGCTGTCAGTGACACTTATACCATTTAATAGCAAAAATTTTAAAAAATGATTATAACCGGTCTCATATGACACTTTTGTCCCTTCAGAAATAGAATAATTCCATAATTTACTAACTGTTTCACTCAGTGCCACATTACTTCTGATGCACTTGGAACTATGCATGGACTCTGTTCTGCTTTTGGGGCCAGCTTGTGAAAACGGGTGATCTGTAAACGAGACAAAGCATCCGAAATTTGGTTTTTATAACCTGGAACATGTTTTGCACTAAAGTAAAAATTATATTTAGCTGCACACCAAGTCAGCTGTCTCATCAATTTCATAATTTCTAGAGTTTTTGATCTCCCCTTTTTCACAATAGCTACAGTGGCCTCATTATCACACCAGAATAATATTCTTTTACAAGACCACTCTGGCCCCCAAAACAGTGCTGCTACAACAATAGGATATAATTCTAAAAAAGCTATTGAAAGGTTGTTTGTCAATGATGGTAAATCCAAAGGCCAGGTTGAATAAAAGAATTTCCCCTGAATAGCCCCCAAATCCTATTGTTGACGCAGCGTCTGTAAATAATTCCATATCAAAGCTACTTGTAAATTCATTTTCATGAAACATAGTAATGCCATTCCAGTTTGACAAAAAACGTAACCAAAAATCCAAGTCTGTTCTACATTCTGTGCTTAAATGCACGAAATCAGACAAATCTTTAACTGTAGTTGACAAATTAATCAAATAAGAAACAAAAGACCTTCCAGGTAAAATAACCCTGGAAGCAAAATTTAAATGTCCCAATAACTGTAAAAGTTCTCTTTTTGTACAAGATGATTTGTGTAATATTTTGCGAATAAAATTGCATATCCTTTGCACCTTATTATCAGGTAATCTGGTTTCCATTTTTTGTGAGTCTAGTATGATACCCAAATATTCTAAACAAGTAGTAGGCCCAACTGTTTTATGACTAGCAATGGGAATGTTAAGCGGTTTAAATATTGTCATCATAATTGCCATTGTCCTCTCTCCATCTTTGTCGGGATGGTCAATTGTTAGAAAATCATCTAATAAATGCAGGATATGCTGTACCTTATAGTTTTTCTCAGCAATATAACACACTGCTTGGGAGACAGTGTCAAAAATTTTAGGACTGGAACGGCATCCAAAGGTGAGCCTAACATAAAAATAATACATAGATTTCCACTTAAAACAAAACAGTGGCCACTGCGTAGGTTTGTAAGGACAAATTTTAAACGCATCGGATATGTCGTACTTGGATAGACTTGCTTTTCTCCCACATTTTGAAATGATGCGGATAGCATCATCTATTTTCACATAAGACATAGAACAATCACTTTTGTCTATCATATCATTAACACTCATACATTCATCATTGTGTGGTGATGACAAATCTAAAATTAATCTTTTCTTATCGGAATATTTCCCCGTTGCTACCCCTAGAGGGCTTACTCTAAAACGAGGAAAAGGACTATGTTGAAATGGCCCGTACACAAAATCTGAAACAACTGTAGATTGCGACCTAGCCGAGTAATTATTTTGGCATACTTTGGTATCCCATGTATCGTATTTTACCATAGAATCGAAACCATTTCTTAATCCATTTATCAAATATGATCTGAAATTTATATCTGGATGATTTAGCAGCTCATGCTCAAGTTTTTCTATGTTGATAGTTGATGCTTTCATAGAATAATCTTCCAAATGTACATGTAGTCATGATTTGTTATCAGGTTTAGTCTGAGTAACATCTTTGCTACTAGTGTTATTTTTGTATGTTTGTGAATATTTTTGAGGAACATGAAAATTGTGATGGTTTTGTCTATTACCTGTACATGTAGGTGCGGGGTGACCTGTAGATCTACAAGTTGAGCAAGCGTGAAGAAGGTTGCATGTTGTTCTGAAACAACCCCTGACATTATTATAATTGTTACATACTTCTTTGCCGTCGTAAAATACTCTACTACGACCTTGTTTATCAAGCTTGTTTGGCATGTTTGGTCTAACTGACCTGTTGTAACCTAAGTTGCTATCTACATGTATACTCTGATGATCAGAACACTGCAATGCACAAAATTCTGTGGCATGATCAACTTGATGACATAAGTTGCTGGCATTTACTCTAATGCCCCCACTAACTAGTGAAAGAATGTCACGGTCTCTTTTACTCCAATCAACCTTGATGTGTTTCTCTCTTAGGAGTGTAGCTGCCTTTGCAGAGAACAGCTTATGGTAGGTATAAAATTTAGGCAGTGTCTGCGCGTACCCGCATGCGGGTACGAATAGTCAAATTGCCATTCATAGGCTACGCGTACCCACATCCGGTTTTATAATAAAATGCCATCGGATCGGGAATGAAACGTGAAATATATACGAGAATTATCGATAATATGGGGATTTCGTGTAGAACGAGTGAAGAGTATGAAAAATAATATTTTCAAATAGTATTTATTAGATAATGATACATGATAAACATTGCAAATTAAATGCACACTGATGGAAAATGAAACTGTACAGTCCCTGTAATAGTAGAACATGATAATAACCGGGTGCAGGTCGTTTCGTAACCTGGTCGTTTCGTAACTAGTCGATTCGTAACTTACTAGGTCGTTTCGTACCTGAGACGTTTTGTTACCTTAAATCAATATATAATAACAATATATATAATAACAATATGAGTAGTAGCTAGGTTACGTAAAAAATAACAAAAAGACTTATTGATGTATATATATATATCTATATTTATTTATTAAGTAATTGATTGCACATACATTTATACTTTACAAGTACAGTTTTGCACACATGCGAATAGAACAGAAGAATTTGAATTGTCCATCATCATTTAGATGTACCCCGTCTTTATCAAAGTATTTAGTCTTCTGCCACGTGCTTTGATGTCTCCAATACTTGACACCACTCATCTTTATGTTGCTTAGTTCTTTATTTATCTTCTTTTTTTTCTATCATAAGTTGTTTCTTTCATGTTTCTTGTTTTTAGTCTGACGATGTTGGAGCCTATAACTACAGAAGGAACACCTAAGCGCTTGACATCTTTTGCGAGTTGTACAATATCTGATGCTGTGTGTGATGCAGATAATTTATCACAGATGTCATTCTCTCCAATCTGTATGAAAACAAAGTCTGGTTTAAATTTCTTCACTATGTGGAGATCAAAATGTCTCAATGACTGTACTTTTCTCCCGCCTACCGTGGCCTTGAAGCTTCAAAGTTGTTTCGACAGAACTTGATAAGTCGGATTGCGTTCTTAACATCCAATTTTCCAGTCTTCGGATGAAACTGTGACCGATCACAAGACGAGTACTTTTTCATTTAAATTAATTAATTTAAACTAACACTTTGTAACCATATATATATAATTACACCAGGTACGAAACGTCTCAGTTAAAAAACAACGTAGTTACGAATCGAATCGACCAGGTACGAAACGACCAGGTTACGAAACGACATGCATTCAAATTCATACTATTATAAAATGTAAATGCAAATTTAAAGAATAAAATTTAACTGATTTTGAAAAATACCCATATGAGATTTAAAAATAATCTTTTAGTAAAATTTAGTAAAACTGAAATTTTAAAATATCTTATTAAAACGACTAAAATTAAAGCTTGGGTGTCTATATAAAAATTAAAGAAGCAAGTAATAATGTCAAATTATAAAACCAATTATAAAAGATTCATGAAACTAATTAAGATTTGGAACAAAATTTACATATCCAATATGATTGTTTTGGCACATATTTCAACCCTGCACATTTCAAATGTTGCCAGTCCAAACAACAATCACAGGCCAAAGAGTCCTGATCGTGTAGGTTTTTTTTACATTTGATACATATCCATTCGCATGATTCTCTTCTTTCGTCTTCCCCACGTGTATATCACTCTCTTCCATTTTAAGAATATTTATTTACTGAGAAAAACTGTTCACTTACCTATATATAAATATTTATAAAAATTCTAAGTAGTTTTAATCAATTTATTCACTAATTGCGACAAATTCCGTATATATTTCACGTTTCATTCCCAATCCGATGGCATTTTATTATAAAACCGGATGTGGGTACGCGTAGCTATGAATGGCAATTTGACTATTCGTACCCGCATGCGGGTACGCGCAGACACTGCCTAAAATTTATCTCCATATAATTTATGGATCTGAATCAAATCTGCTTCATATGCATCAAGCTCTTCACGTCTTTCGGGATATGACACACACATGATTCGCTTATATTTGCCAAAGGCCTTGATAAAATCTTGTATATTCAGGTTCCTGTTAAGACGGGGGTCAGGCTTGCTTGATAGATTAACTTTTATTTCATCAGCAGTGATACTGTGTGCTTGAGGGTTTTCGTAATTGGATATTAGCAATGAAGTGAGATTAATGTCCGTACCCTCAATAATATTTCTTTGAATATTGGGCGACACAATATCAACATTGGTGAAAGAATCCGATCGCACTCCATTTCTTGTTGAATCCATTTCGGCACTGGTATGGTGAGAAAACGGTAAGGCACTTGTCGACGGACTATAGCTGAAGTTGAGATGTGCGGCGGTTCTTTGGGTTGTACCAGAAACAGGGATAAGCGGGACATCAGAAGCGTTTCTTTGTTCGTACCAATTAGCTAGATCGTAGGTCTTGGTAAAGGAATCCGGCGTTGGTCTAATGTTGGAAACGGATGGTTGCATGCTTGCCATACACTGTGTAAACGTGTTAACCATTGTTGATGTAAACAAAGCGGCCATATTGTTTACATTGGAGTCCGCACGTACGTCGTTTCCGGTTACACTATCCATGCGCGGTGATGGGGCGGAACTTCTTTCATTTGTGGGCGGGTCTTGAAGTACTTCTCTCGGTTGCCTAATATGGTCATCCGCTGCGACGGTTGCACCTTCTCGAATTTCGTCAGTGCATAGGCGCTCCTTGTTGTCTAGATACAGTTGTTTAAGTACTATTTTAGACCAGCTTTTTGGAATGTTAATTCCTAACTTCCGTAATTCGTCCCGAAATCTTGCACCTGTCCAATTTTCTGGATTTTCCATATCCCATTGCGAGCTTTGTGTTGCATTTTCTTCGTTGTTATATGGATGTTGTCTGTTTCTTGAACGACGGTTACGTCTGATTGAAGAAGCCATGTTATTTACTGAAGTTTTTATAGCCGTAAAATTACGAAACTGTTAAATAAAACTGATTCAAGTTCTCAAATTTCGGGAAATAATAGTCCAATATTGAATATCAAGAAGTGATTGGAAAGACGAATTTAAACTGCAATGAATATTATGTCCGAGATCACTAATTTACGATGAGGTTTTAAAGAATTGTCTACAGTTCTTCTGAATAATCGTAATCACACTTAGGAAATAAAGTCGTGTATAAAATACCTTGTGTCTCCAAGGCAGGAGAATGAAAATAAAGTTATATAAATCCGATTTCCAGTACAGACAATCTTCCACAATAAAGTCTCGAGTTTAACAGCAGAAAATCAGTGTAATTAGTAAAACTGTAAAATGAAATTGAAAACTTATTCCTGTAGAGTAAACGTCCTTTGTATTCAACAGCAAAATCAAAAGTGAGAAGCTGGCAGCCTGCAATTGTAATCTGAGAACCTAATCCCTGATATCAGACAGACCAAATTAGGCATGACCTTTGACCTTATAATGGAATCGACTGCCCCATCTCATGGAAGAAACCATCCCGTCTGAATAAACAACACTTATACTCTGCATAAGTTACAACCTAGATTTGTTCCAAACTTGGACAGAAGCTTGTTTATAATCAAAAGATAGTATCCAGAAGAAAATTTTGCAAAAAAAAATCCTGTTTATCCGTATTTTACTCATATATGGACTTAGTTTTTCTGCCAGTTAACATAACATTCACTCTAGATCTGTGGTTAAAGTTTTTATACGACCCCAAAAAAATTTTGTGGTCGTATATTGGGATGACATTGGCGTCGTCGTCGTCGTCCGAAGACACATTAGTTTTCGCACTCTAACTTTAGTTTAAGTGAATGGATCTCTATGAAATTTTACCATAAGGTTCAATACCTCAAAAGGAAGGTTGGGATTGATTTTGGGGGTTATGGTACCAACAGTTAAGGAATTAGGGGCCAAAAAAGGGGCCAAAAATAAGCATTTTTGTAACTTCCAGACATAACTTGTATGTTAGTGTATGGATCTCTCTGACATTGTACCACAAGGTTCCATATCACACAGGGAATGCTAAGATTGATTTTGGGGGTAATTGCCTCAAAATATTAGGAATTAGGGGCCAAAAAAGGGGCTAAAAACAAGCATTTTTCTAGTTTCATGACAATAACTTGTGTGTAAGTGTATGGATCTTTCTGAAATTGTACTACAAGGTTCCATATCACAAAGGGAAAGCTAGAATTGAGTTTGGGGGTAATTGCCCAAAACGTTTAGGAATAAGGGGCCAAAAAGGGGCCAAAAATAAGCATTTTTCTAGTTTCCAGACAATAACTTGTGTTCAAGTGTATGGATCTCTCTGAAATTGTACTGCTAGGTACCATACCACAAAGGGAAGGCTGGGATTGATTTTGGGGGTAATTGCTTCAAAATTGTAGGAATTAGGGGCAAAAAAACAAGCATTTTTCTAGTTTCAGGACAATAACTTGTGTGTAAGTGTATGGATCTTTATGAAATTGTACTACAAGGTTCCATATCACAAAGGGAAAGCTGGGTTTGAGTTTAGGGGTAATTGCCCTAAACGTTTAGGAATTTGGGGCCAAAAAGGGGCCAAAAAACAAACATTTTTCTAGTTTCCAGACAATAACTTGTGTTCAAGTGTATGGATCTCTCTGAAATTGTACTGCAGGTACCATACCACAAAGGGAAGGCTGGGATTGAGTTTGGGGGTGATGAATCATAAGGGGTTTCAAAAAATTTGGGGGGGGATTTTTTTTCTTTAAAATTTTCCATTTCAAATTGGTTATTTCTGATTTACAAAAATGTATATATAAAAGCAAATAATAATGATATGGTTTGAATATGTAAATTAAAAATTTTTAAGTTCTTAGACCACGTTCATTCTGTGTCAGAAACCTGTGCTGTGTCAAATATTTAATCACAATCCAAATTCAGTGCTCTATCAAGCTTGAATGTTGTGTCCATACTTGCCCCAACTGTTCAGGGTTATTCAAATTTTAATAACTTTCTTAAACTATCCTGGATTTGTAACACACTTGGACAGAAGCTTGTTTATGATCAAAAGCTAGTATCTAGAAGGAAATTTTGTAAAAATTTTATTTCCTGTTTTTCCGTATATTACTTATAAATTGACTTAGTTTTATTCCAGTTAACATTACGTACAGTCTGCAGTTAAAATTTTTAAAACATTCATTAAGATTCATAAACCTTCTTGGATTTTTACCAAACTTGAACAGAACTTCTTACAATCAAAAGATGGTATCTAGAGGAAAATTTTTAATAATTTTTATCCCCATTTTTGTTGAGCCTGCGACTAACAGCAAAAGTAGGCGAGACACTGGGTTCCACTGAACCCTTACGAATTTTATCTATTAAAATAACCTCCTTTTAGTTTTTTTTATAAATTTCTGATATGACATTGAGGAGTTATGGAACTTTATTCTTGGAAAAAGCGATGGGCGTATCATGCGCTCATGGTGCAGCTTTTTATTTTCAAATTGGACCCCATAAAGGTCCAAAGTACCCAAAATAAAACTTAGTTTGATTTTGATAAAAAATGAAAGAATGTGGTTATTTGATATGGTGAATCCAACCATGTATTTAAAATTTGAATATTGGACCGTAATTGGTAAATGTCTAATTTTAAAATTATTTAAGAACTTATACCACATTCATTCTGTGTCAGAAAGTATGCTTTTATTACATATTTTCTTAGAATCTAAATTCAGAGATGCTATTGGACAATTAACAGAAATTTTAAGTTGGGTCATAGTTGAAAATGAATATAACATCATATCTAATTTTAGAGAACTATTTTTGTGGTTTACATGACTGGTTCATGGAAAATAAATTGGTTCACAGACAATAACTTTATATAAGTGAATGGATGTGTAAGAAATTTTAGCACAAGGTTCCACACCACAATAGGAGGGTTGGGATATTAAATAGTTAATTACGCTTTACATTTATAGATTTATTGCACAACTAATAGTTGAGTTATAGTTTAAAATAGATTGCTTTTTCAGATATATTAATTGTGGTGAGAATTGCGTATGCATTGTGTTCTATTTAAAGATTGTTAACATGTTTGAATATTTTCTTATCTACAATAATGATAAAAAATGATCGTAAAATCGATTACACAATTATAATTGGAGTGACAGATTTATTTGAAAATTTTGAGTTTCCTAAGTGTTGTTGATGATAAGCTCTGTAGGACAGTATAAATATAGTTTGAAATTTACTGTTCATTATTTGATATTTTGAAGATAATTCCAGATAAGTTTTATAGATTTTTTAAAGACATTGTATTAATGATAAATGATATTTTGAAAATGAATTTTTATTTTTCTTTGGTAAATTGTTTGAAGAATTTTTTGGTAGGTTTGTTTGTTATTCTGTATAAACTAATTTTCTGAATGCTATATATATTTTTATGCCCTTGCGGTAGCGGAGAGGGCATTAAGTTTTACCTTTGTCCGTCTGTACATTTTTTGTTTCCGTTCTCTAACTTCAGTTTGCCTCAACCAAATGTTATGAATCTTATACACAATGCTGATTACCACAAAACACAGATCCAGTTTGAAATTTTTTGGTGTTATTTTAAGAGTTTTTTTAGAGTTATGCTCCTTTACAAATGTAAAAATTCAGCATTTCCATTCTCTAACTTTAGTTTGCTTCAACCAAATATTATGAAACTTTTACACAATGCTTATTACCACAAAACATAGATCAAGTTTGAATGTTGGTGGCACCACTTTTACCGTTCTAGAGTAATGCCCCTTTACAAATGGAAAAATTGCTGAATTTTTGTTTCCGTTCTCTAACTGTAGTTTGCCTCAACCAAACGTTATGAAACTTATGACCAATGCTGTTTACCACAAAACACAGATCAAGTGTGAATTTTGGTGGCTTCACTTTTACCGTTCTAGAGTTATTTTCCTTTACAAATGTAAAAATGCTGAATTTTTCGTTCCATTCTCCAACTTTAGTTTGCCTCAACCAAATGTTATGAAACTTATACACAATGCTTATTACCACAAAACTCAGATGAAGTACAAATTTGAGTTATGTCCCTTTATAACGTTATATGCAAGCTGGGGCATCATCTGTGTCCCATGGACACATTCCCCATTTAATTTTTTTTGATGAAACAAACTCCTTTAAAAATTAAGCTTACATTGTCTGTTAATAAACATGTTTTTAGATTTTTTATTTTGGGCCCAGTTTTCAAGTTGATCCAAATCTGGGTCCAAAATTAAACTGTGTTAGATTTCAACAAAAATTTAATTTATGGGGTTCTTTGAAATGCTGAATCAAACCATGTATTTAGATTTTGGATTTTGGGCTCCGTTATCAAATTGGTCCACATTGAGGTTCAAAGGGTCCTAATTTAAAGTTATATTTGATTTCATCACAAACCTATGCTGTGTCAAATATTCAATCACAATCCAAATTCAGAGCTGTTTTAAGCTTAAATTTTGTTTCCATTATTGCTCCAACTTGTCAGAGTTCGACCTCTGCGGTTGTATCAAGCTGTGCCCAGTGGAGCATTTTATTTAAATCAATGATTGATTGTTGGTGTTTAACACAATTTTCAGCACTCTTGGCTATATCATGGCAACCAGTTTTTATTGGTGAAGGAAGCCGTATTTACCTGGAGAGAACCACTGACCTTTGGTTGTAAAACTAGCAATCCTTGTCAATTAAAATCAAAGTCAAACACACCTGCCAAGAGCGAGGTTCAAACTCACACCTCAGTGTTGACTGGCTAGTGAACATGGTAAAGAAACTACGAAGACCACTCGTCCACTGAGGCCACCTAAGTGAATAAAAATTTCTATTGACAGGATGATATTGAAGCCTAATAAATATGTTTGTAAGAATATATAGATTACTTAAAGTGATTTCTGTAATCCGAAAACAATCAAATTATTAAAATAATGAAGAAAAACTGAGTCTTTAAAAATTATGTGTCATATAGTATCTTTGGATTTTTTTTGAAACATTTCTAAATATCATTGGAACTTCCACTATGAATACTTGCAGAACTGAATTTTTGAAATGCAGCTAATTAGATTTAGGATTTAATACTATTCTAGCAGAGTAATTAAACCCTTACCACTATCTGTAATAGTGGCAGGTTTTGTTAATTTGTTGTGGCAGGTTATATCAAAATGTCATGGTGAAATAAACAGGCTTGTTACAATAAAATAAATATACCTGTAAAAATAAGAAGATGTGGTATGATTGCCAATGAGACAACTCTCCACCAGGGACAAAATGACTTAGAAGTTAGCAACACTAGCTCACAAAATTCATTGTACAAGGAAAATTTCGTCAATTTTTTTTTGGCTTCTGTGAAAGGAAATGATTTGGTGTGAAGCTTGATAAAGTTGAGTTGTAGTGAGTAAGCAATTTTTACATCTTCTGTGTAGCGACTTTATGTTTGCAGATAGTTTGAAATAATAAAGCACTCTTTGTCCAAGGAAAATTTTTGTCAAAGTTTTCTTGGCTTCTATGAAAGGGAATGATTTAATATTTGGTCTGCAACTTGATAATGTTGAGTTGTAGCGTGTAAGCATCTGCTGTGTTGCCTCCTCTGAACCACACAACAGAATTTAATGAAACTTTGTAGATAATAAGGACATACTATGTAGATGTGCATATCGACAGGAAATTATGATTCAATTTTTTTTCTAGGAGTTATGCCCCTTTGAACTTATTGGCCTCAATATACTACTGCAACAGTTTGTCATCGTAACTCCTCTGAAACCACACTACAAAATTTCATGAAACTTTGTAGTTAATGAGGACATAATATGTAAATGTGCATATCCACAAGAAAATTTTTATCAGTTGACTTTTGCAGAGTTATGAGTCTTTGAACTTAGGAATCTGGTAAGATTTTGTTGTCCAGTGACAATGTGGGGGCGTGGGGTATGTGAGCGTGCTCATAAAGGTTCTTTAATTGCATCTGTGATTAAGAAAAAAGTGTCTATAATAAACTTCAAATTTTTTTTTAATTGCAGAAGCTCCAACATTGCCACCTCCACCTGCTGTACATAGTTATAACTTTACAGGTATGTTAGATAATAAGGAGGCATTAAAAAATCGAAAGTTAGTTGGTAAATTCAGGTGCTCAGGAAGGGTAGGCAGTTCCTGCTCCACTAATTGCACAAAAAAATCTGGTAAAAAGTTACATTCAGTAATAAGTCCTAAACAAGGAAAGGAGGATGTGAGGGGGGCTTTGAAAATAGAACAAATCTACTATCATCTGTGACACAGAAGAAATTACTAATGATCATGGACTGATGTGAAGAACAAATTTATAAATAGATGGAAAAACAACAACCACAACAAATTTCTATTTGCCAGAGGGTTATATGAGTCCTCAAACCTCCAACTTATATTTAAAACAAAAGGAGAGGAAATTTCAATGTACATATCATATTGCTACACCAAAAATCAATCTAAAGCAACTTTGCAGTATCTGTTTTAAAGTCAACAGCAGACACAAATTCTACATGATAAAATTGATTCTTTATAATAATGTATGAAATAAAGCTAGGACTTTGGGCATGCTATGGAAATGTACAAAAATGACTTTGATACTTTTATTTTAGATTGTTGTGTCAGAGAGGGAGTGTCATCAGCCTGCCAGCCTGTCTGTGATCCCTTTCAGCAGGAATTACCAGCCAACTTTGACCCATTGATTGCATGTGCACTAGATTTACCTAAACTTCTGAAATGTGGATCTGGTAATTTTAATATATTATCAATTTTGTTATCTGATAAATGTATGAACTTTGAAATGACCTTTATCACCTTGAAAAATTTTCACAATTTTTTTTTAAAATACAGTTTTATATAAAGCATTTAATGACAACTTTCCTGTATCAAACTTATCCATCACATAGAAAAACATTAAGATTATATGCATTTCATTGATATAGTTAAAGATGATAGGACCTTAAAAACCTGTTTTCAAATTGTTAAGGAACATTAGGTTTACTATTGTGTATGTTATTGTTTCTTGTTCTTTGACTCTTCTAAACTTTTTGCTCTTCCTTTTTCTAGTTGACTTTTAAATAGCTGCTTTGTGTGGGGATTTATTTTTAGATGGCAAGAACCATGCTCCATGTTGTAAGAGGAGAAGTCTTCCAGACATATGCCAGGATTTTTGTTTGGGGAAGGTTCCATCTAACCTAGAAGATACTCATCTGGAGTGTATGAATAAGACATTGGATATTATAAAATGTTACGAGGAAGGCCAAAGTAATTAATGTTTATCAATATATGACACCAACATCTAGATTTCAAGGTGGTCAAAACTTTGACTGTAATACCATATACAGGGCATGGACATAAGTATTTTCACCTACAGTTTTTATGCCATCGCCGGGGGATATAGAGTCTAAAGCATATGTTAGTACGCTGATGTTGCACATTTCAAATTTTGCACTGTCAATGTAACAGCTTATGTCAAAAGTCAAAAGTCTGAAGTTTTATATTTTTATTTCAATCATTGTTAAGTCTTCCAGGATTAAAATTGAAATAAAAAAAAATGTTCGGCTGGCATAAATATTTTTTGTAATCCTTGACTGTGACATCTAATTATTTTGACGTCATAACATTACCAAGTATCTAAATGTAAAACATCTTAATGATTGTGAAAGATCTTCTTTGTAGTTAAGAATGACATTAAAGAAACTGAAGAAGGCCAGTGGGGGAAACATCTTAAAAAATTCATTTTTCTTTGTTTTTTGTTTGGTATATGTTGTTTTTGTTTACTCCTGATGTAAACCCACACTGAAAACTATTTACAATTTTATTTTAGTAGAAATATACAGCAAATTTCCTGACAATAAATAAAACTTGTGTCCAAATCTTTAGAAAAATAAAAGCACTTCATAACAAACTTTAACAATCTTTAACTAAATAACCGTACGTCCCGAAATTGGTTTCCGTTCTCTAACTTAAGTTTGCCTCAACCAAATGTTATGAAACTTATACACAAGGCTTATTACCACAAAACACAGATCAAGTTTGAATTTTGGTGGCGTCACTTTAACCGTTCTAGAGTTATGCCCCTTTATAAATGGAAAAATTGCAAAATTTTTAGTTTCTGCCTCTAACTTAAGTTTGCCTCAACCAAATATTATGAAACTTATACACAAGGCTTATTACCACAAAACACAGATCAAGTTTGAATTTTGGTGGCGTCACTTTAACCGTTCTAGAGTTATGCCCCTTTATAAATGGAAAAATTGCAAAATTTTTAGTTTCCGTCCTCTAACTTAAGTTTGCCTCAACCAAATGTTATGAAACTTATTTATATACAATGCTTATTATCACATAACACAGATCAAGTTTGAATTTTGGTGGTGTCACTTCAACCGTTCTAGAGTTATGCCCCTTTATAAATGGAAAAATTGCAAAATATTTAGTTTCTTCTAAATATCAAGTTATTTTTAAAATTGGAGTTATCTTCCTTTGTCCATGATTATAGTTGAATCAACTACAATCAATGCTTTATACAATGCAATGTTTAATTTTGACTTCCACTGATAAAACACAGATCAAGTTGAATTTGGGTAGTGTCACTTTAACCATTATTGAGTTATGCCCCTTTATAAATAGAAAAATTGCTGAATTTTTAGTTTCTGTTCTCTACTTAAGTTAGCCTCAACCAAATGTTATGAGACTTACACACAAAACTCAGATCAAGTTCAAATTTGGGTAGCGTCACTTTTACTGTTCTTCAGTTATGTCCCTTTATAACTATATGATATGCAAGCGGGGGCATCATCTGTGTCCACATGTGGACACTATCCACATTTTTTTTTATTAAAATCTGACAAGAAATGACCCCATGATATTGGTTTTTTTTATACGCCTGTTTATGGGACATATTATGGTATACCGTTGTCCGTCTGTCTATTCGTCGTCAACATGTCGGACATTAACTCAAAAATGCTTAAACCAATTTGCATAAAACTTTGGTGAATTGTTTATATCTTTTGACGTGAGCTTCCTTTCGTTTTTTATAAAATTTAGATTTTACGTTTCCGAGTTATTGGGTTTTATTCATTAAAAAAGGGGGAGTTTCCAGTTTTCGGACATTAAGTCAAGAATGCTTTCACCAACTTGCAAGAAATTGTGGTGAATTGTTTATATCTATTGACATGAGCTCCCTTTTGATTTTTATAAATTTTAGATTTTACGTTTCCGAGTTTTCATAAATTTCTAATATGACATTGAGAATTAATTGAACTTTATTTGTTTATAGTCTGACAACAGATTTACTGAAGAATTGAATGCTTCTTTTTGTAACTTCATTGGGGAGTAAAAGCGTTGACCGAAGTACATTTTGTATGAAGAGCGGAAGCGCTTCATTCTAAAAATGTGCGCACAGTCAACGCTTTTACAACCCTATGAAATTACAAAAAGAAACATTCAATACTTATAATTACATTTTTTAGCTAGGATCATGAAACACGATTTTTATCAAGTTTTTATTTAATTTACCTGTGTACTTTATTGTGGGACCTCGTGTCATCATGAATGATAAATTTTATTGTGTAATGAAGTTGATTAAGGAAGAACGTGAGATTGCAGTGTAGCCAATCAGAATAACGTATTATAATGAAACATACATCTAATGTAATTATTAAGTATTGCACAACAGCAAGAAATCTTTAATTGAATATAAATTCAATTCATATAACCAATTTCAAGTTCTTTGACTACATTTATTCAGAAACCTATAATATGTCAAATATTTAATTAATTTATTTTGCTAATTCTTTGTATATAGTCTGAAAACAGATTTACTAAGTATTGTGCAACAGCGAGAAATCTTCAATTGAATATAAATTCAAATCATATAACCAATTTCAAGTTCTTTGACTACATTTATTCTGTGTCAGAAACCTATAATGTGTCAAATATTTAATTACAATCCAAATTCAGACCTGAATCAAGCTTGAATATTGTGTCTATTTTTGCCCCAACTGTTCAGGGTTGGACCTCTGCAGGCGTATCTAGCTGCGCTCAGCGAAGCAGTTTTTTTTTAATATGTATTTATAAATACATTTATCTTACCTCCTATAGATTTATAGGGATATGATTGGTTAAAGGACTACACGTGGTGACTATGTATACTTGATATAGGGTGTCCTAAAAAAGATAGGGTTAGTTACCATACATGGTTAGTTACCATATGGGGTTAGTAAGGAGTTACTTCCCTTTCAAAACAAAAAAGATGGCACGACTCTTTATAAAAACAACACGGTGTTGAGGAAAAATCTGAAAGGTTTCAACAGACGAAGAAATTGATGATGAAAGATTGAAGTAAATTCATAAAACATAATTAAAGCTAACAAGTTGTTATTGTTGGCATTAAGGAGTTACTTCCCTTTCAAAACAAAAAAAGAAATCTGAAAGGTTTCAACAGACGAAGAAATTGATACATGTAATGAACGATTGAAATAAATTCATAAAACAAATTTAAAGCTAAAAAGTTGTTATTGTGGACATTTGTTTTCTGTATAGACAAATGGAAGTAGGATCTTAATACTAAGTATTGAAGACTTTAAAATCACTTTGATAGGTCGCTAGTGAAAATACCACATGTGAAGATAGTCGGTAAGATAAATTCGTTACACGGTGTGCTAGTGACCTAATACGATATATATGGGGTCAGTAAATTCCATATGGGGATTAGAGCTTCCCTCACACCCCATATGGAATTTACTAACCCCATATATACCGTATTAAGTCACTAACACACCATGTAACTAATAGTATATAGTGAAAAATCCTTATGTCCATGCGCATATATTATATATATGACAGACTTGCAGTTGCTGTCAGTGAAATAGAAAGGTTGTGCTTGGGTTTTTGGGTAAAGATTGCATGAAATGTCATCAAAACCCTATGGTACTGACTTGATAGTTCAAACAAAATAGTGCAGTGAAGTGATCATTATTTAGATTCTATCCAGTCAATGTCATGCAATTTATTGATATGTTATACTTTGGTATTTTAGTTACAATATGATGTGTATTTGAATTCCCATACTTGTCAAGTAAAAAATCTTTTTTATTAAAAATTACATAAGTAATGCATGGTGTATGACTCTGTTATAGAAATAGGTTCAACCACAAATGTACAATCATGAAAAAAGGAAGATAACTCCAACTAAAATTTTTAACTTGTCTAGCAAAATGCAATTCAAGTTTTATATAAAAATTCACAAAATTGCAAAATGAAAGCAATCTTTGCACTTCTGTGCTCCCAAGCAATTTGATTATTATAGTTGGTAGCAAGTGGAGAAGTTTGAGATAATTGTAGAGAAATGAACATGTCTCTTTGTTTGAGTAATCAGCATGTGTTTTACCAAAAAGAGAATAACTTACAATAACCAGTTTCCATTTCTTTATATGTTACCAGTAATAGAAATAAACATTTTGTTTTTGCTGCACTCTTAAAATTGGTGTATTATTTTATAAAATTTATTTAAACAAAACCTGTATTAGAGTGTACAACATCAAGATTTCCAGTTAGGAATATGCATTATTTTTTTGTCATATGTGACGATACTGTAGTTAATGAATTCTGTTGAAAAGGAAGGATTTACAGTAAAAGCTGTTAATGAATGCTGTTGTAAAGGAAGGATTTACAGTAAAAGCTGTATATATCTAATCAAGTGGCAGAATATAAAGTTATTACAAATAAGACATTCACCTTAACAAAATAATCAGATCACTTTCGCCAACTGTGAATTGAAACCTTAAAAAATTATTACTCACTTAATGTAGACGAAAATATTCTGACCTTGTTTGAATTAGATACTTTTCCATCTTATATGGGGTCAAAAATAATGATAAAAATGCTCAGTGTCCTGATTATTTCCAATATTTGTCAAATTTATGTATGTTATTGAAGGATTTTTTCCAAAATGATGTAATGTTGTCACTGTTTCGTTACAGATGTTCTACCTTTACCACCAACATCAATATCAACTGTAGCTAATGCTAATGGATTTGTTGTAAACTGGCAGCCACCAACAAAGAATCAAAAATTGATTAAAGGCTTTTACATCCATTATAGATTGTCAGCAGATACTACTTACAAAACTGTAAGAATTAGATGTTATATCCATGATAATAGCTGAAGGCCTGCTGAACTTTTGTGGAACACAATTAAAAAAAGTTTGCTAAGGGTACCAACATTGTTGGTCATTGTTTTTCCAAAGAAATTTTAGAACTTTAAACAACCACAGTGACAACCCTTTAACAATAGGAATTTCTATAATTAAAAAGTGCTTTTTTAAGCTTTAACAATTACATTTGTTTGCCCTTCTCTGACTGATTGAAAAAATGGCCTGACCTGAAAAATGTTATTACAAAAGTGTTTTTTAAAAATTGGTCATGCCCCTGCCGCAGCAGAGGAGGCATTAAGTGTTAACCATTGTCTGTCCGTCTGTACTTCGGTAAGTACGTCCCAAAATTAGTTTCTGTTCTCTAACTTTAGTTTGCCTCAACCAAATGTTATGAAACTTATACACAATGCTTATTACCATAAAACAGATGGATTACGAGTTTGGGTGGCATCACTTTTACAGTTCTTTAGTTATGTTCCTTTATAATGTGATATGCAAGCAGGGGCATCATAGTTTGGGTGGCATCACTTTTACAGTTCTCTAGTTATGTTCCTTTGTAATGTGATATGCAAGCAGGGGCGTCATCTTTGTCCCATGGACACATTCTCCATTTATTTTTTCGACATCTGTAAATTTCGTTAGTTATTTGGTACTAATAAGAATAAAAATTTTGATCAATAGCAAAAAAGATTGCTCTCAATAAATGATAAGCATCTGTGTTTCCAAACATCTGAGTTATGCATTGTTAAGTCATTTGGAATGCTTTGTGTCTGTAGCTAATGGTGTTGACAAAAGTCAGTTGTGTTCCAATGTAGCACATTGTATGGTTAGAAAAACATAAAACAAATTAAGTCAGTTTGGGTACACAACAACTCATACCTTTGCCAACTCATACTCAACCAACTCTTACTTTTACCATTTAACTCATTTCTACCAAATCATACTCAGTTTTTTAGTATTATTATGTATCAATTAGATAAATCGTAAATTTATTGGTAATTTTGATTTGATAAATGATCTTGTCTGAGACATGTATAGTATACAGTACACAGTTACTTTTACCATTTAACTCTTATTTCTACCAAATTGTACTCAGTTTTGTAGTATTATTATGTATCAATTAGATAAATCATAAATTTATTGGTAATTTTGATTTGATAATTGATCTTGTCTGAGACATGTATAGTATACAGTACATGTCTCTGATCTAGTGTTAAAATCTTTTTTAATGTTTATTGACAAACATGGCTTTGTTTGGAATTTCTTTGATTGTGAAGTAGCTATTTATCAGTAATCTCACTTGAAGAAGGTAGAAAAAGGTGTCATCCCAAATTCCTGATAAAAATAAAGCATTTTTTCTTGGTTTCAAAAAATAGTATTTAATCCCTGAGTCCCGATAAATGTAGATCCTGAATTCCCACAAAAATAAAGGCTCATTCCTGATGTCCTAAAAAAGGTCCTTCCACCCCTCTCTCTTGTTGAAAATATAAATCTATGTACACATTTTTATACACCATGAAATTTTGGCATTGGGTATAATGTGTTTGATCCGTATGTCTGTCTGTCTGTCTGTCTGTCTGTCTGTCTGTCTGTCTGTCTGTCTGTCTGTCTGTCTGTCTGTCTGTCTGTCTGTCTGTCCATACGTCCATCAGTTCTGTTCTTGTCTTCGCAACTCCTCTGAAACCACACAACAGAATTTCATGAAACTTTATAGATAATAAGGACATACTATGTAGATGTGCATATCGACAGGAAATTATGATTCAATTTTTGTTTTCCAGGAGTTATGCCCCCTTTGCACTTATTGGCCTCAATATACTACTGCAACAGTTAATCATCGCAACTCCTCTAAAACTACACAACAGAATTTCATGAAACTTTGTAGATAATAAGGACATACTATGTAGATGTGCATATCAACAGGAAATTATGATTCAATTTTTGTTTTCTAGGAGTTATGCCCCTTTGCACTTATTGGCCTCAATATACTACTGCAACAGTTTATCATCACAACTCCTCTGAAACTACACAACAGAATTTCATGAAACTTTATAGATAATAAGGACATGCTATTTAGATGTGCATATCGACAGGAAATTATGAGTCAATTTTTTTTCTAGGATTTATGCCCCTTTGAACTTATTGGCCTTAATATACTACAGTCCGTCAGTCCTGTTCTTGTCATCTCAACTCATCTGAAACTACTCAACAGAATTTCATGAAACTTTGTAGATAATAAGGACATACTATGAAGGACATTCCACAAGAAATTTTTATCAGTTGACTTCTGGAGGAGTTATGAGTCTTTGAACTTAGGATTCTAGTGAGATTTTGTTTGCCCACTGACAATGTGGTGGCATGGAGTATGTGAACGTGCTCACAAAGGTTCTTTAATTTTTAAATGTTTAAATAATTCCTTTAAATTTTATAGAGCCAGAAAATTAACAGAGATCTGACATCATCTTTGATAGGTGGACTATTGTCAAACAAGATCTACGTTATCTATATGTCATCATTCTCAGATTATGGATCCAGTCAACCTTCAGAATTTATTACCCAAGCCACCTTAGGAGGTAAATATATACAAAACACAGTCAAAAGTTATTACCCAGGCAACCATACTAGGTAAATATATACAAAAAGATTTTCCTTGTAGCTTATAACCAATGGTAGATAATCAATGAAACAATAAGAGTATGAACACAATGGAAACATGGTAGCCTGATTATTACAGTGGTAGAAATTCAATTGTTGATCCGAAGTCATGTTAAAACATCATGATGTAAAAAGATTTGAAATTTGTATATGCTGCTGCTCTGCTTAGTATATGCCATTTAGGAAAAAGATCAACCTAAAAGTTTAAACCAGTAAGGATGACTGATACCAATTGGTACTAGCAGAAGTAAAAATTAAATGTTCTTAAAATATTTCCAGATAACAAATGGGTAAAGATATAAAGAGGCTTTTTGAATTAAAGATAGAAAAAAAATGTGTCAAATAACATCTTTGAGATGTTCACAAGTCTGTCTGATATCAGTATATATATTGTCTAGCCTAATCTTGTCATTAATATTTAAAATATCAGTCACAGTCTTTCCCTGAAAGACTTTACTGCAATATACAAAGATGGCTCATAATTAATTTCTATGTGTTTAAGGGCCATTTTTAAGGTCAAATATATTATCAAAGTAGACATTATAAACATGATTTCAAAGGATTGAAATTTTTTATTGTTTTTTTGGTATTATTTAAATTATTATAAAATTTAATGTCAAATTGTAATATAAATAATAGTTGTATTTATATTTTAGGCCAAGCACCTATAGAACAGAACTATAATATACAAGGTAATAACATAACCGGTAAATAACCTTTTTCAGAAAGTCATTTCCAAAACCTGATTTTTACTCTAAAATATTGTTTGATATAAATTTTTCCCTTTTTTTAGAATACGACTTATATTAAAGGGGCACTAGCTACAAGAAATCTAAAAAATCTAAAATATGATTTTTTTTTGTTCAATCAGTAATGAAAGTGAAATAGTGAAATAATTATTCGCTTTTAGCAGCCATTGTTCAATTTTGTCAAAATAAGCGAAGAAACATTGATGATGAATTATTCACTTGCAAGTTCAAGCTTGAATGTTGTGTCCATACTTGCCCCAACTGTTCAGGGTTCGACCTCTGCAGTCGTATCAAGCTGCGCCTAGCAGAGCATTTTATTGGGGTTTCTCTGACTTTTTCCTTTTCAGATCAGACAATACTGGGAATTGAACTAGTTACAACTTTGATAGAAAATCAGTAATCAGCTGATTGCATTTAATAGCTATCAGCAACAATGGATTACGATTAATAAAGATGTTGATTGTATTGTTTATTAAATGGTGTGTCAAATGGCGACATATGTCATTTAAAGGATTTGTTTACAACTTTGATAGAAATAATTGTTTTGAAGTGGGGACTTCACAATCGTTTTACTTTTAGTGACGCATGTGTTTGAAGTATAGTTTTACGTCTCCTCTTTTACTTTTAAAGATAGTATGGAAAAGAAAACTTGTTATGGCGAAAAATGTTCAAAAGTATGAAAAATCTGACTTTAAATTTTATCCTATAATTTTCATAGAAATAATTGTTTAGATGTGGGTAATTTGCAATCGTTTTAGCGACACACATGTTTTAGGCATGGTTTTCATCCAAACGTTTTCTTTTAACGATGGTCCAGAAAGAAAATTATTGTTAAAAAGAAAAATCTCTAATGTGAATCTTTATCCTTTAACTTGACGGGAAGTGTCCGATAAACTTATTGAAGATGAATCCCTTGTTAAACGTCAGAAGTTAAAAATCTATATTGCAATTTTACAGTTTCTTTTAAAAAGTAAATGTTTGTTATTATTGAGTGTTTATTCATTACAATGTAGATTAAAAAATAGATATGAAGAATTATTATAGATAACAATGTGAAGTGAATTTTTTTTTTTTTGTTAGAAAGAAGGAAAATTTTAAACGAAAAATGTGTTTAAGCTAGATGGCGAAAACAAATTGAAAGTGGCGAAAAAAATTTGTTTAGGCGATATAGGTGGCGAAAAAGAAAATTGACCCAGGGGAACCCTACCTGTGGCGCAAATGAAATAAAAAATTGCTGCAAATGCAATAAGCCCGTAATAAATTGCACAGATATATATGCAAAGTAAACATATTTTGTACACTATTTACAAATATAAGTTGAAAGAATCAGCCAGGAGAACAAGCTCATGATTTAATATGCCTTATTAATGTACATAGCTTTTCAAATTTGAATTTTTTGCAATATTCATAACTTCCTTGACTTTAATTGTATTTGGATAATCAACATACTTTTTTACAATATTCTATTTTCTTTCTATAGCCATAAATTTAACCTTTATTGCAAATTCATCTCCAAGATCCTTTAAATCACATTGTTCAAATATTCTTTAATCTCTTGGTTTTTTTTGCCATCTACTACTTTCTATTGGTAATTTATGGTTAATTAGTCTGAATTGACAGAATGTAAATGTCACAGAATTCCAAAACATTTAAAGACTTTTAGAAGCCAAAAATTTCCTTAAAAAGACTAATTTTATGTGTTCAGGTTTGTTTGAATATCTGAACATCATGTTTGTTTAAACTGATCTTAGAGAGATGTTCTAACTGCAGTCTTGAACCAAATTTCATGATGCAAGTTTGAATTAACCAAACATAAGATAAGCCAGTTTCATGAAGAACAGATTCTATACATTTCATCCAATTAAAAGTAACATTTAGTTACATGAGATATACTAAACATTAATTTGAATGTAATTGCTGATAATTTAATGTGTTTGCTAGAAATTAACTTTGCCAGCTTTTTCTGCCTGTCTTTTATTTCTTTCCAAAACTGCTGTTTTACTGTACCTAGTATTTCCTTACCTGTAGGCATTGTCTAGCACATACTGTAAATCATAATTATATATAAGGTAACATGGGACGATGGGACTCATACCACATTGACTACATCCAAACCGGTGAACGATACCAAATTCAGTTTTGTACTCCAATACCTAGATCGTTAGGAAACCTTGGTGAGGTTTTTCTGTGTTTTCATCTGTAACCTCATAAAGTCCAGTAAAAAAAAGATTGTTCTGCATAGAGTGAGAGTGTATTAGTCAAGATCTCTTTCCTTAAGATTTTTATGTTCACCTTGGCAGTTATATTCAGTCAAAGTTCTGCTTTGGATTTTATTTCTGAAATGTCTTTGGAAACCTTATTTATACAATGTTTGGCTTAATAAATTTATTTTGATCACATTGAGGTTTTAGGTTGTTAAATAAATGTCCTACTCCTAGAATGTTGTTTTCAAATTTTGTTATTTTGCCTTGGCATGATTGTAAGCCCTTCTCAGTAGTAATAACTCAACTTGTCAGAGATGTAATGATATTCTTTATTTCATCAAATTTGTCAATGCCTTTTTCTACTGACTGCAGTCTTTTATCTATATTTCTGTACTTTTGAATACATGTACTAAGTTTTTAAAGGTGTTCAAAAGTAGTGACCCGTATGCTTTGCATGGTTTTCCCTATTTCCCTCAACAATCTGCCAACTCTCCTCTAAGTGCTGACATGTTTCACTAAATGACGTTTTTATACGACCGCAAAAAAATTTTTGTGGTTGTATATTGGTATGACGTTGGCGTCGTCGTCGTCGTCGTCCGAAGACACATTAGTTTTCGCACTCTAATTTTAGTTTAAGTGAATGGATCTCAATGAAATTTTACCATATTGTTCAATACCACAAAAGGAAGGTAGGGATTGATTTTGGGGGTTATGGTACCAACAGCTAAGGAATTAGGGGCCAAAAAGGGGCCAAAAATAAGCATTTTTGTAACTTCCAGACTTAACTTGTTTGTAAGTGTATGGATCTCTCTGACATTGTAACACAAGGTTCAATATCACAAAGGGAATGCTTGGATTGATTTTGGGGGTAATTCCCTCAAAAGTTTAGGAATTAGGCGCCATAAAAAGGCAAAAAAACAAGCATTTTTCTAGTTTCAGGACAATAACTTGTGTGTAAGTGTATGGATCTTTATGAAATTGTACTGCAAGGTTCTATATCACAAAGGGAAAGCTGGGTTTGAGTTTGGGGGTAATTGCCCAAAACGTTTAGGAATTTGGGGCCAAAAAACAAGCATTTTTCTAGTTTCCAGACAATAACTTGTGTTCAAGTGTATGGATCTCTCTGAAATTGTACTGCAAGGTACCATTCCACAAAGGGAAGGCTGGGATTGAGTTTGGGGTGATGAATCATAAGGGGGTTAAAAAAAAATTTGAGGGGGGGTGGGTTTTCCTTTTTTTTCTTTAAAATTTTCCATTTTAATTTGGTTATTTCTGATTTATATATAAAAGCAAATAATAATATTGTTTGAATAGGTAAATTAAACATTTTTAAGTTCCTAGACCACTTTCATTCTGTGTCAGAAACCTATGCTGTGTCAAATATTTAATTACAATCCAAATTCAGTGCTGTATCAAGCTTGAATGTTGTGTCCATACTTGCCCCAACTGTTCAGGGTTCGACCTCTGCAGTCGTATCAAGCTGCGCCCCAGAGGAGCATTTTATTTGTATGTGTATTTGGAATAAGGTACAGCATATAGTGAAGTGATCACAGGGTCCAAAGTCTTATTTCGATGACCAATCGCAGCACCTAACACATACTGAATTCTATTGTTTAACTTAGTTAATTATTCTCATTATATGTAGTTGTAGTGTTCTATTTTTGGTGCTGTCTTAAAATTAATTGCACATTAAATGAAAAATTAAGTCATAATCATACATTTTTTTTCTTCTCACCAGCAGTATATTTAAGAAATAATTCATGGGGCTGGCATTTATACTGATTTTACCATGGGTTGGTCCTTTATGCTAAATATTTTACCTTGAGCAATAGCAAGCAGTGCAATTCTTTCGGACCGAAGCGCTCTAGGTAAACGCAAATATTTGCTGTTCCCGTAATTAAACACACTATCGATATTGACGTTAAAGACAAATAAACTGAATTAGTGACATGCTTAAACAATTTACAATAACAAACTTAGGCTGGTTTGAACAAAGTTAAATGATTATCTTACTTTTATTTAAGTAAATTATCAACAAATTTTTATCATTGTTTGTTTATGTTTGAAGTGTTTCCGTGTTTTGATGACTTTCAGATTCACATTTGTGCATTTTCCTGGTAGAATGCTTATATTCTTATGTCAGCATTCAATGAAGTCATTTACACAGATTGACCTCAGGTAGATCATTCACTTAAAGTATGCAAAGTGGGAGAATGATGGGAAAGCCAAAACAAATCATGATGTTGCAAATCTGCTAACATACAATATATTCATATTCATACCACGGGTGTGTACTCAAAGAGTTGGAAGAATGTCATATTAGATTTAATACTAATACCTATGGTATATCAATTGTCTACATTGTTTTCATGTATTCTATATTTTGGAAGATTTTTGGCTCTCTAAAAATTCACACGTCCATTACTTGAAGGGGACAGCACTCACCACTCTTCTTTAAATATCAAGACCTGCTCTGATCAGTTAAATTGTGGTGTATTAGCAATTTTACAAATCATTTTTATTCACCAAATACCAAAAGACAAGAATGTAAACAGCTACTGTTCACTGTACCGCCTTCAAGAATAAGCAAAATCCATACTGTATAATAAACATAAAATTGAATCTCTATCATTCTTCTTATTAGTAGTATCTTGGTGAATATTGATCACAACTGTTCATGTTTGAATATAACCATATTTTAACTAAATGTGTTAAATTTCTAGGTTATTATTGCAATACAAGCAGCTTATCATAAGTATTGTCAAACCAAAAAACTGCATTCATTTATTGCGAACCCAATGAAAGTTTTCCACAGTGCCATCTCTATCTTGACCAGGTATTTAAACTTTTGCAAGTTCACCTGTCCTATTGAATAGATACAATAGCTATTGTTCTCTGTGTAGTTTATTCTCTGGGACCTTTAAATTTCTTCTAAGAGAAATCTATCATTCATTGATTAAATTACCTGAGTAAAAAAAATTTCTTATATATAGACAAAAATACTGTTTTTATACTCATTAACTGCGTGTGATGATGTAGTTATTCAATATTAATAATATATATTTTCATTCAGTTTAATATAAACATTGATTCAATCATAAAGATTTGATTTCTGACAAAACTTTCAACATTGTTCCTTTTAAAAAAAAATTTGTTTGACATAAATAAGAACTTGAAAATAATGATGTTTCAAATTAAGATCTTCTTAAATGTATTCTATAACTAAACAAAAAAAAATCAAATTTCAATAGGAACATTGATAAAACTTTTGTTAGAAATCAACTTTTTATGATTGAATCAATGTTTATATTAAACTGAATGAAAATATATTATTAATATTGAATAAATACATCAGCACACGCAATTAATGAGTATAAAAAAAGTATTTTTGTCTATATATAAGAATTTTTTTTTACACAGGTAATTTAATCAATGAATGAAAGATTTCTCTTAGAAGAAATTTAAAGGTCCCAGTGAATAAACTACACAGAGAAAAATTGCTATTGTATTCATTCAATAGGACAGGTGAACTTGCAAAAGTTTAAATACCTGGTCAAGATAGAGATGGCACTGTGGAAAACTTTCATTGGGTTCGCAATAAAGTAATTGTCAAATGTTTAGAAAACATAGCATTTATCAAAAGACACTCATAAAGATCTTTAATTGAAATATGTGTAATTTAAATCAAAAAAGCTATTTCTAAATTATGTGATCTAAAACGAGTTGCTTTTTTTACAAAAATAAAAACATCACATAGGTTTATATATTTTTAGAATTTCTTGGTGAATTTCAGTTTGTTGTGACAAGGCAAAGATACCAATGATGTGTAAACAGAGTCTGTGTAAAAGTAACGTGTTTGAAGACCTTGACCCTTCAGTAATCCTTAGTTGTTATGGATACCTGGATGAGATGATGAAATGTGTCACAGGTATGTATACCTAGTAAACCTCTTTCTTAGTCTTCTGAGCATTTCTCATCTATTGAAGAAATTAAAAGTAGTTTATATAAATTTCAACAATTTTACAGCATTTTTTTAGAAAGACTCCTTTCCAAATGATTACAAAGGGATTTTCATATGCATTTAAAGCAACAACAAAATATGCATTTGTTTAAATTATCTAATTGATGTAAGTGCAGTTAGAATGCTTGTTGCCTCTAATTCATTTTCCAAAAGAAAAATATTAGAAAATGTTAAAAAAAAATAAACAGTTTTTTTAAATATTTTGTATTTTCTGAAGATAAAATACTATTTTTTGGTGTTGTTAATTTTATTTTCAATACGTAGAAATGAAATGTACAATATTTTAGAAGTTTCTATACCACATTTGATGCTCTGAATCTCCCTATGTGTATGCAAGTTTACACTGAATGTGACAAAGACTATAAATGTTCTGCCATGAACACATTTGTCTTAAATGGTAAAGAAACACATAAAGACATTACTGCAACATGGGAATAAATCTTTACCTGACACAGACACATTTTAATATGTGATTGATTCCAATAACTGTTGTAGGTACTCATCCCTGTGTTATTGATCATAAAGATCATAAAGATCATAAAGATCATAAAGATCATAAAGATCAATAACAAAGGGATGAGTACCTATTACACTAATTTGAATTGACCCCTGCTACGAAAGAGGGGAATATAATGTTTTATTTCTGCTTGTCTGTCTGTCCGTACCATGAAATATTGTCACCTTTTTCTCAGATCTACAAATCAGAGCTTCTCCCAAGGAAGGGGGAATACTGTTTTACCAGAGCTTCTTCCAAGGAAGAGGGAATACTGTTTTACTTTTACCAGAGCTTCTTGAAATTTGTTGTCAGTCTTTATGTGAATATAGTTTATTATACTATACAATGTAATTCAGTTGCAGATTCATCAATTCTCAACTTCCTGTTTACCGGATACTTATAAATTCTAACACATAATTGCCATGTATGAAATTTGGTCACATTTTTATAGTAATCTGAAATGAAGAGCTTCCTGAAATTTGTCAGCATGCTATATCGTTTGATGCGTTTTCAGATTCATTGCATATCAACTGGCAACTGCTAATAAGAGCTTCCTGAAATTTGTTATCAGGATTCATGTGAACATGCTTTAATGTGTGATGGGTTTTCAGATTCATCACTTATCAACTTCTTATGTACCCAATTCTTAAAGCAGGGGTATCATTACTACTGTGGATTCATTTATTTTCGTGGGTACCAATTTTCGTGGATTGAGGAAAACTTGCATGTTCGTTGATATTGGATTTCGTGGTTTTCCAAAAGTCTGCATTTAATCATATAGCAAATTTGCATTTCGTTGAACATTTAAATTTGTGGTTTACCTGTATCCACGAAATCCACGAAAATTGGAATCCAACGAACAATAATGAATCCACAGTACATTAGTGAGCAGTAGCTCACAGTTTTACTTGTTGGAATAATAAAGGTACAAAGAACAGTGCATAATGCTATAAAACTCACTTTTATAAATTATTGAAAATACACCTACATGTAATTTCACCTTATTATTGAAAGCCAGATTCCATTTGTTGATCAAGTAATTGTGCCTAAAAGTTTCAAACAACTTAGTTATCCTAGCATTATCTCCATGCTATATTATAAGATATAAGTCAATTATGATCTCAATATAAAAATAAGGAGATATGGTATGTTTGCCAATGTTATTTACTTTATAGTGTAATATTATTATTTCAACAATATTTCTACCAGTGATAGAGTGAAAAATGATGTAATTTCAGGGGAGAGAAACCATACAGGCTGTTGTCAAAGAAATGGTATTTCTGATGAATGTCTCGGATTTTGTTCAGGAAATATGCCTTCATTAGACAATAACCTGTCTCAGTGTATGATTAAGTTACCATTGATAGAAGCATGTGTCAGAGAAGGACTTGGTATATATTTTGTACAATACAAATTAAGAAATCACTTAAAGTTCACTAAGTGCTATTGCAGAGGGAAAAGTTTGGGAGGGTTTGAACACCACATGATAGCTTTTTCTTGTGGTTATTAGGGTGGTTATAATTAAATTAAAATTATGGGTGGTGGGGTATCAAAAAAAGTATTGTCCTACCCCCCATACATTTGTTTGTGGGCTAGTCCTAATTTTCAAATATGTACACAACATGTGCTCTTTACCTCTTATATGAATTTCTTAATGTTATGTAATGGATCAAGAGTAATTGATTTTTTGTCTTGCCTTGACAGAGTAATAAAGGGAGACAGGTATGCTGTTTCCGACAGTGGCAGTGTCAACAATGTTTTAGTTTGTGATAAGGTCAGTTTATGGGGAACCACTAGTGGTAGGTCAATGACATGTGGTACGCAGTTGTATTAGTATTGGCACATCTCATTTCCATGGATATTATTTGGCCCCGTCCCCTCAGTTATGGTCTATTGACTTTGAAACTTTTGCTTACTTTACATGTATTAGTTTGTGATCAGGACAGTTTAAGAAAAACCACTAGTGGTATGTCAATGATATTTGGTATGTAGATGCATTAGCAGTCAGGGGACTTACTTAAATGAGTGATTTTCTAAATCACTGATTCAAGTAACATTATGTCCATAAAGGTTGGAAGTAAGAGTTGTCTTTCTTTACTAATCACCTATTTAAGTAGTACAATGTACAAATTAATCACTAGACGAAGTGATTTAATTTTATTGTAGCTTTGAATATAGAATACTAATGATCCAGGGACTAATTATGTTGCTAAAATTATCAGAACCAACATCTGTGTTGATAGGATGACCGGGTCATGTCAGGTGATGACCTTGTACTAAATCTAGGATAATGACATAAAAATTACTTGTTTAAGTATCATACCTCAATTTCCTTCCAAAAAATCACTTCGTTAAGTATCATTATTTTAATAACCCCCACTAATTTCAACACCCCCAGACAGTGAAATTTTGACCGCGAACAGTAGAATTTTATTACATAATCTATAAGATGAAACCTTGAATTTTACAGGAAAAATACTCCCAATGCTGGGAAAAATCTGTTAAGAAAGTATCAGTTCATTATGTAAAGCTATTTTTATAGCATTTTTTTCAACTAAAATAGAATTTGCAGCTAAATCATTGCATCAAAGGCATCAACCTTGCTGCTTAAAAGAAGCAAAAAGTTCATTTTTTTTCAATTTTACTAATGAAAAGATATTATCTAAATCTATGTGTTTAAAATTTTGGTAAAACTACAAAATCACAATTTGTGACAAAACCTGGAATTTGCTACTTAAATAAGTGATTTAAAAATCACTTATTTCAATAAGTCCCCTGACTGATTAGTATTGGCACATCTCATCGTTGTGTTAACGTTGTTAAAAAAAATCTTCCCCAAAATGAGCACTGCAACACAAAAGCTCATTTATTTTATGACTTGGGAAAGAAGAATTTGAAGGTTTGAAACTTGAATTATGAATAAAATGAGGTTTATACCTCAATAAGACAGAAACCCAACACTCAAATAATTAAACAATATCTAGAGGGCTTTATACAGTCTTCGTCAATAGACAGGTGTTTATACAATATGTCAAGCTCTAAATTCTCAATAGTCTCTAACAAATTGAATAAATTTTATAGATTTCCATCAACATTGTATCTCCAAATAACAAACAAGAGGCAGCTGTCAAATTCATGTTCACTGATTTGACATAAATTCTCATATCTGATTTATACAATACAGGGGCTCGTTATATTGTATCAGCTTTTCATGAGTATTCTAGTAAAAGGTTAAATTAAAGGTTACATGAATACAGATTCATATAAGGTTGATTTATTGACTTGTAAGCCAATAATACATCAGCAATGTTTTTATATGACCGCAAAAAATTTTTGTGGTCGTAAATTGGTATACGTCATTGTCGTCCGAAGACACTTGGTTTCCGGACAATAACTTTAGTATTAGTAAATAGAAATCTATAAAATTTAAAGACAAGGTTTATAACCACAAAAGGAAGGTTGGGATTGATTTTGGGGGTTATGGTCATAACAGTTTAGGATTTAGGGGCCAAAAAAGGGGCCCAAATAAGCATTTTTCTAGTTTTCAGACAATAACTTTCGGAACGGTGTATGGATCTCTCTGAAATTGTACAACAAGTTTCCATACCACAAAGAAATGGTTAGGATTGGCTTTGGGGGGTAATGGCTCAAACCGTTTAGGAATTAGGAGCAAAAAAGGGGAAAAAAACAAGAGTTTCCTTGCTAATGGACAATCACTTTTAAGTACAATGTTAAATTTGGATTACCTCCCTTACACTGCTTTTAAAACAATGTATAAAGAAATTTTGTATTGTCTTGAGGTGATATTAGCTGTCAATTTATTTTTAGAAGTTACTAATAAAAATGCTGATTAAAGATATATTATTTTTAGACATGATTATGTATGTCATTTTCTATTTTAAGACTTTTATGATGTATTTAAATGGGTAACTATGGTTGCAAACTCCATTGGAAATTTGAATTGAGATAATGACCATAGGGGTCATTTTCAAAAAATGTCGAATTTTGAAATTGAAAAATTTATTAAAAGTTACTTATTCAAACAACCCTCTACATAAGCAAATCAAAACAAACAGTACTTAAAGAACAACATGTTAAAAGATGCAATCTTAATAATGTCATACAAGAATATCTTGAAACATTTTTTGATAGGTGGTACAATATTTTGTCTCTCCTGTTACCATTTTCAAAAGAAATTTTGGGTTATTAAGAAAAGGTTTAGATAAAATTTTAAGCTTGTTTTATGTACCCAATTAGATGGTTTTCAAGAGAATAAACTTCTATATATATTCATTCTGTAAAATAATAGATTATTTGCCAGTTTTCAAAGGTTGTAAAAATTACCACCAGTAATGCAAGTCTAAGATAGCAATTCATATTGTTCGGCATTTTTTTCTCTCTTTCAAATAAACCCAACATCAAGTAAATCCCTCATAAGTTAGTTTACTTTTCTCTTTATTTCATTGGTAACAGGAACGTACGTTTATGATATGTCACTATATAAAAGTCTATCCTGTTACCTTTTTGTCTATCCTGTTACCGATATCAGTATTGCACCTGCAAATGCTTAATTGGGAAGAATAAGACGTTATAACTTTAAGATGAGTTCAAACAACGAAATATTTCATTCGTTTTGCAACTATATGTTAAGATAATTTGTTTAACGACGTTTCTGTCTACAATTGTCTATCCTGTTACTGTAACCATAGCAACCATAGTAACAGGATAGACAAATTTCTTCATTTTTGAATGCTGTTGTGAAATGACTACTCCCTTTGGTGAAGTGATTATGGTTTTCTGTTGTGAATTTGATTTCCAACACGATATTGCACTTTTTACAAATATACTGTTGGTGTAATTAATCAAAATTGTTGGTAACAGCATAGAAATGAAAAAAAGTACCCTCTATTTTTTTTCACTAAATGTCTTAAAATTTCTTTTCTCTACACTGTCATACAAGAAACGTGGTGTTTTAAAAGTAAAGGTAACTTTGAACTTTTGAAATCAACATTGACTGATTCGATATTCATAGGGAGAACAATATCATGGCTGATTTAAGTAGCGGTAACAGGATGGACATGAACCTCCCGTACGCTGATTGAATTTAGTTTGTAGATAATATGTTACATATAATGATTAAGAAGCTACGATTTTTCGTTAGAGTAATTATTAACGTTCTTAAAAAGTCCCTTTTGCAGATATCAAGGCGATCAGAAAATCGGGAAAAAATCATTTGCAATGTGTTTTTCTGACACTGTACGCACACAAATACCCCCAAAATCGGACTTAAATACATTTTAATCTTATCAAAATAGATGTAAATCGTGTTTATTATCAATGTTCTAAATCATAAATCCGACAAGCTTTCATTTAAACCATTACAACTGAAATTTCCATTAGAAATACAAATTTTAGCATGGGTGTACTGAAAATTCGACATTTTTTGAAAATGACCCATATCTTGAGGGAAAGATTTTTTTTTTTGAAAAAGGGGAGGGGAGGGGAGGTGAAAAAAAAATTTGTGGGGGGGACAATTTTATTTTTCTCATTACAGATTTCAGAAATTAAAAAGGGGTTGGGGGGGGGTCATTTTGCAAAGCATAGTGTATTGCACAAAAGCAAAAAAAAAAAGGGGGGTAAATTTTTTTTTGGAGGGGTGGGGGGGGGGGGGGCAATTCGCAACAGCATAGTGAATTGCACAAAAGCAAAAAATTAAATCATAACCAATTCTAAGTTCTTTGACTACAGTTATTCTGTGTCAGAAACCTATTATGTGTCAAACATTTAATTTCAATCCAAATTCAGACCTGTATCAAGCACGAATATTGTGTCCATTTTTGCCCCAACTGTTCAGGGTTGGAACTCTGCGGTCGTATCCAGCTGCGCTCTGCGAAGCAATTTATTCAGCTTGTTTTGACAAAACTAAAACAAACTGACTGCTTAAAGTTTGATATTATTACTCTATTCCCCTGTTCTAGTTATTTAAAACAAAAATTATTTTTATTTTTTTGTTGTCTAATTCATAGTTAATGCCTCTTTAAAATATGACATAGGACAACTACTGCCAAGGTTCCTGACTTTGGACAGGCACATAAACATGTGACAGAAAGCACCAATCAAATTAGTTGAAAATAATATAACCAAATATTTAGAGAAATGGCAAAAATTGTATACAAAAGGTTGTATATCAATGGTCCAGATGTGTGTTGTCTATGTCTGGTTTATGGAAGTAGTTAACCAGCTCTTGTCTTGTAATTTGTCCATATGGTACAGTATTCTAGCTACAAAGTTTGAACAGGGTGCAGCGCCCGCCTTTTTAGCTCACCTGGCCCGAAGGGCCAAGTGAGCTTTTCTCATCACTTGGCGTCCGTCGTCCGTCGTCGTCCGGCGTCGTCCGTCGTCGGCGTTAACTTTTTACATTTTGAACTTCTTCTAGAGAACCACTGAATGGAATGAAACCAAACATGGCATGAATGTTCCTTATGAGGTGCTGACCAAGTGTTGTTACTTTGTAGCCGATCCATCATCCAAGATGGCCGCCAGCGGGGGACTTAGTTTAACATAGGACCCTATGGAAAATGCATACAAATGACTTCTTTTAGAGAACCACTGAATGGAATAAAACCAAACATGGCATGAATGTTCCTTATGAGGTGCTCACCAAGTGTTGTTACTTTGTAGCCGATCCATCATCCAAGATGGCCGCCAGCGGGGGACTTAGTTTAACATAGGACCCTATGGGAAATGCATACAAATGACTTCTTTTAGAGAACCACTGAATGGAATAAAACCAAACATGGCATGAATGTTCCTTATGAGGTGCTGACCATGTGTTGTTACTTTGTAGCCGATCCATCATCCAAGATGGCCGCCATCGGGGAACTTAGTTTAACATAGGACCCGATGGGAAATACATACAAATGTCTTCTTTTAGAGAACCACTGAATGGAATGAAACCAAACATGGCATGAATGTTCCTTATGAGGTGCTGACCAAGTGTTGTTACTTTGTAGCCGATCCATCATCCAAGATGGCCGCCAGCGGGGGACTTAGTTTAACATAGGACCCTATGGGAAATACATAAAAATGTCTTCTTTTAGAGAACCACTGAATGGAATGGAACCAAACATGGCATGAATGTTCCGTATGAGATGCTGACCAAGTGTTGTTAATTTGCAGTCGGTCCATCATCCAAGATGGCCGCCAGCGGGGGACTTAGTTTAACATAGGACCCTATGGGAAATACATACAAATGTCTTCTTTTAGAGAACCACTGAATGGATTGAAACCAAACATGGCATGAATGTTCCTTATGAGGTTCTGACCAAGTGTTGTTACTTTGTAGCCTATCCATCATCCAAGATGGCCGCCAGCGGGGGACTTAGTTTAACATAGGACCCTATGGGAAATGCATACAAATGACTTCTTTTAGAGAACCACTGAATGGAATGAAACCAAACATGGCATGAATCTTCCTTATGAGATGCTGACCAAGTGTTGTTACTTTGTAGCCGATCCATCATCCAAGATGTCCCCCAGCGGGGGACTTAGTTTTACATAGGACCCTTTGGGAAATACATAAAAATGTCTTCTTTTAGAGAACCAATAAATGGAATGGAACCAAACATGGCATGAATGTTCCTTATGAGATGTTGACCAAGTGTTGTTACTTTGCAGCCAATCCATCATCCAAGATGGCCGACAGCGGGGGACTTAGTTTAACATAAGACCCTATGGGAAATACATACAATTGTCTTCTTTTAGAGAACCACTGAATGGAATTGAACCAAACATGGCATGAATGTTCCTTATGAGTTGCTGACCAAGTGTTGTTACTTTGCAGTTGATCCATCATCCAAGATGGCCGCTAGGGGGGGGGGGGGGGGGCTTAGTTTAACATAGGACCCTATGGGAAATACATACAAATGTCTTCTTTTAGAGTACCACTGAATGGAATGAAACCAAACATGGCATGAATGTTCCTTATGAAGTGCTGACCAAGTGTTGCTACTTTGTTGCCGATTTACTGTTCAAGATGGCCACCAGGATATTTTATTAAATAACGGGACCAATATTAATCAAAATTTGGCCTCAATCATTATTTGGGTATCTGTTATGATTTTTATCTATCTTTACATGATTTCTAAAACCAAAGTAGAGTCAGGTGAGTGACACAGGCTCTTGAGAGCCTCTAGTTTTATTGACGCCCGTGCTTTTTTTCTTCCGTTTCTTGGGCGCCCTGCCGTTTTTATCGCAATGTTTGCTTTTCACATTACTGTAAATTCAGAAATTATTGCGATGTTTTTATTATTGCGAAAAATGCGACAGGGTTATAATCGCAATAATTTAAACTCGCATTTTGAAATTTTTAAAATGAATTTAACACGATTTTTCTCAATATCGCAAAAATTAAAATCGCATTTTAGTCTAAAATGACAAAATCGCAATAATAAATGCGCGCAATAATTTCTGAATTTACAGTATTTTCACAATGCCAACTCGAGATAGACGCCTGAAAGATGAAACCAAAAAGAATGCTAGCCACTTTAAAATATATTGTGACAATCTTGTCCATGAATGGACAGCTGAGCTCAGATCAATCCAGAAGTGCATAACTGTGCTCATGAATGAAACACTAGGATTGACTGAGCTCTATCCAAAAATTTCGAAACTTATGAGTGTGGCAGCAGTTTTGCCACTGAGCACAGCTGAGGTTGTGAGAGTGTTTTCTCAAGTAAAGCTGATCAAATGTGATCATAGAAATAGGCTCAAGCAATCAACACTTGAGAACTTGCTACATATCAAAATTAACTGTCATAATGACATGTTCTGTTCAATTTTAGACAATGTTGTAACAAAGTTTTTTACAGTCAAACTGAGAAGATTGTGACAAAAGTGTTGAATTTTATTACTCCATGTTAACTGAAACTTTATTTTACCATAGTGCCTGAGTTATATAGCGTATTTTGTTTGTAATGTTATGTACATATGTATTTTATGATGTGTGCTAATAAATTATGAGGCTTAAATAATAGCCTTTTTTTCAATGAAATTTACATGTAAAATTGCCCTTTTTCTGACTAGCACCCTGCTCTTTTCAAATCCTGGCTAGAACACTGTGGTAAGATGTGTCTTACTACCTTATGAATTAGTATAATAGATATCCTGTCAAGAGCAGTTGTGGCATGATATTAATTAATATCACAAATATGATAAAAAAAAATCATTGTTATATTTTAAACACCTAACATTTCTTTTGTAATATTAGAAAAAAATATAGAATGATTTTGATTGCCTGTCATATGCTAAACCTTTTTTTTTTGTAATTTGCATAGGATTGATGGATTTCTGTTTTGTTTTTTTGTTGTTGTGTAGCAACCATCCCAGGTCCTCCTGAGAATATAAAGTTGACTGAGGTTACTACAACCACAGCAACATTAAGCTGGGATCCACCAAGTACTGGTGCCAATGTAACTCAGTACATTGTTTCTTACCTTGAACATAGTCTGAGGGATAGAGTTTCAACACCAAATAAGGTACATAAACTTAGAGTTACAACACCAAATAAGGTACATAAACTTAGAGTTACAACACCAAATAAGGTACATAAACTTAGAGTTACAACACCAAATAAGGTACATAAACTTAGAGTTACAACACCAAATAAGGTACATAAACTTAGAGTTACAACACCAAATAAGGTACATAAATTAGAGTTACAACACCAAATAAGGTACATAAACTTTACAGTATAATTTTTATTTTCAGCAATAAGATTCTTTAGGAGCTGATGAAAGTTGGTCTATTGATGAAATTGACTATTGGTAATCTCTCCTGATAAAACATTACAACAACTTGTAAAACTTGTTTAGAAAATATGAAAATATAAGAATTATCTGATATTAGGTGTTGCTCTTAATTAGAATCCTCCTTACTTCTGATATAATTGTATAATAGTCTTTCTGATGTCTGATTTATAGAATTTATTGAATAACACTATTAGTCTTCAACAAAACAATGAAATATCTCCTGATTGTTTTTCATCACCCCACTTTCTTAAGAAGAGATAGATAGTGATCATTGATTCCATCCAATCATTCCTTTGTTTCTCTATTTGTTCAGCTATCTTATCTCTCTATTTCTCCTAAACCAGTGAATTGATTTTCATAAGAATTTAGAGAATCTTTAGGTACCCATTGCATTGTTTTGTCCCCCATGCGACACTTTGCAGGGACATAGAAATACTGGGCGTCTAGTCCATCTAACCTGTCTTGTAAGCACTACATGTACAGTTCTTGCTAGATTTTTATGCAATTTATATCACAGAAATTGAAAAAATATAAATAACGGTCTGTTTACTAGGAAGTGAATATGAGTTTATATTTAGAGTAGTAGGTACCCTTCAGGGATTAATGAGTGATAGTGTGAAAGAGAAAACTTTGAAACGTCAATGGATTAAAAAGGGAATGGCAGAAGTATGTGTTCAAAACTTGGACATTTGAAGCCAAATTTTTCAGTTTATGAAACTGTTCACTTGTTATTTTGTCTGAAATTGATTTGATTATAGTTATATTCTTAAAATATTTAAATTTTCTTTAATCAATATAAAAATAGGGAGATGAGGTATGATTGCCAATGAGACAACTTTCCACCAAAGTTCAAATAAAGTGGATGTAAGCAATTATAGGCAACCGTACGGCCTTCAACAATGAGAAAAACTTATACCGTATAGTCGGCTATAAAAGGCCTCGACATGAAAAATATGAAACAATTCAATTGAGAAAACTAACAGCCTAATTTATAACAAAACAATTAACGAAAAACAAATATGACAAACATGAACCAACAACAACCACTGAACTACAGGCTCCTGACTTGGGACAGGCACATAAAGAATGTGGCAGGGTTAAACATGTTTGTGAGCGCTCAACCCTCCCCCTAACCTGGGACAGTGGTGTAACAGTAGAAAAAGGCTTAACTCATCAGATTGATACAAAGCAGAAAACATCCAACATAAACACAGAAGTCTATATTTGTTTACCAATATAATACAAGCTTAGAGTTCCTGTTTACAAAATTGACAAATTATTCAATCAATGCAATCATCAAAAACTGTCGATTGTTTAAATGGAGATGATTATCCGATTAAGTTATTAATTACACAATAAAACTGTCATACCAGCGAGGGTCATTCTGTGATATCTGTAATCCTTTATCTGGCTCTTTGTGTGGGTCACTTGTGTTGGTGTTTGTCTCGCCTGCGACGAAAGTCGCAGTATACGAGACATAGGTATTACTATTCGGAGGTGGCAGCAGCGTAAACTATTTGTATAAAGCTTTATATTTCAGAAGGTAGAAGACCTGGATGCTTCATACCTTGTATGCAGATACCTTATGTTACGAAGTTTCCATCTGCCATATGCCCATTGTCCTTGACCTCATTTTCATGGTTCAGTGACTGCTTGAAAAAAAATTACAGTTTTTTTGTCATGTGAATTTCTCACTTATTATAAGAAATAGGATAACTATATTTGGTATATGGGTTCCTTGCAACGTCTACATGTCTGTCAGACAGGGTTAACCTGACTTTGACCTCAATTCATGGATCAGTGATCAAAATTAAAGTTACATGATTAGGTCCGTTTCTCAGTTACTACAAGCAGCAGGTCAACTATATGTGGTGTATGGAGTGATTGTAAGGGGTACATGTAAGACTGGCAGGTTTCATCTGACCTTGCCCTCATTTTAATGGTTCATTGGTAAATGTTAAGTTTTTATACGACCGCAAAAAATTTTTGCAGTCGTATATTGGTATGATGTTGGCGTCGTCCAAAGACACATTGGTTTTCGCACTCTAACTTTAGTTTAAGTGAATGGATCTCTATGAAATTTTACCATAAGGTTCAATACCACAAAAGGAAGGTTGGGATTGATTTTGGGGATTATGGTACCAACAGTTAAGGAATTAGGGGCCAAAAATAAGCATTTTTGTAACTTCCAGACATAACTTGTGTGTTAGTGTATGGATCTCTCTGACATTGTACCACAAGGTTCCATATCACGAAGGGAATGCTGGGATTGGTTTTGGGGGTAATTGCCTCAAAATATTAGGAATTAGGGGCCAAAAAAGGGGCAAAAAACAAGCATTTTTCTAGTTTCATGACAATAACTTGTGTGAAAGTGTATGGATCTTTCTGAAATTGTACTACAAGGTTCCATATCACAAAGGGAAAGCTGGAATTGAGTTTGGGGGTAATTGCTCGAAACGTTTAGGAATAAGGGGCCAAAAAGGGGCCAAAAATAAGCATTTTTCTAGTTTCCAGACAATAACTTGTGTTCAAGTGTATGGATCTCTCTGAAATTGTACCACAAGGTTCCATATCACGAAGGGAATGCTGGGATTGATTTTGGGGGTAATTGCCTCAAAATTTTAGGAATTAGGGGCCAAAAAAGGGGCAAAAAACAAGCATTTTTCTAGTTTCATGACAATAACTTGTGTTCAAGTGTATGGATCTCTCTGAAATTGTATTGCAAGGTACCATACCACAAAGGGAAGGCTGGGATTGAGTTTGGGGTGATGAATCATAAGGGGGTTCAAAAAATTTTGGGGGGGGGGATTTTTTTTTTTTTTTTTTTAAATTTTCTATTTTAAGTTGGTTATTTCTGATTTATATTTAAAAGCAAATAATAATGATATGGTAGGAGATACACACCAAACAGGATGTGTAAATTATTATATAATAAGTATTGTGCAATAGCAAGAAATTTTCAATTGCACAGTATTGCACAATAGCAAGAAATCTTCAATTGCACAGTATTGCGCAATAGCAAGAAATCTTCAATTGCACAGTATTGCGCAATAGCAAGAAATATCCAATAGCACAATATTGCGCAATAGCAAGAAATTGTCAATTGTGCAGTATTGCGCAATAGCAAGAAATATTCAATTGCACAGTATTGTGCAAAAGAAGATACTTCGTATAAATTGCTTATTTCTTGACCAATTTCAATGGAGTTTTATTCTTGAATTCTTGGGGTTCTTTAATATGCTGAATCTAACCATGTATTAAGTTTTTGGATTTTGGGCGCCGTTTTTAAATTGGTCCACATTGAGGTCCAAAGGGTCCAAAATTAAACTTTGTATGATTTCATCAAAAATTGAATTATTGGGGTTCTTTGATATGCCGAATCTAACCGTGTATTTAGATTCTTAATTTTTGGTTCCGTTTTCAAATTGGTCTACATTAAGGTCCAAAGGGTCCAAAATTAAACTAAGTTTGATTTTAACAAAAATTGAATTCTTAGAGTTCTTTGATATGCTGAATCTAAACATGTATTTAGATTTTTGATTATGGGCCCAGTTTTCAAGTTGGTCCAAATCGGGGTCCAAAATTAAACTTTGTTTGATTTCAACAAAAATTGAATATATGGGGTTCTTTGATATGCTGAATCTAACCATGTATTTAGATTTTTGATTTTTGGGCCCCGTTATCAACTTTGTCCACATTGAGGTCAAGAGGGTCCAAAATTAAACTTTGTTTGATTTCATCAAAAATTGAATTCTTGGGGTTCTTTGATATGCTGAATCTAACCATGTATTTAGATTTTGGATATTGGACCATAATAGGTGAATGTCCAATTTAAAATTTTTAAGTTCTTAGACCACATTCATTCTGTGTCAGAAACCTATGCTGTGTCAAATATTTAATCACAATCCAAATTCAGAGCTGTATCAAGCTTGAATGTTGTGTCCATACTTGCCCCAACTGTTCAGGGTTCGACCTCTGCGGTCGTATCAAGCTGCGCCCTGCGGAGCATTTTATTGTGTTTTGGTTTGTTTTTCAAGTAATATAAGCAATAGGTCAACTGTATTTGGTGTATGGAATAATTGTAAGGTGTCATGTCTGTCTAGCCGGTGTTATCTGACCTTGACCTCATTTCATGGTTCATTAGTCAATGTTAAGATTTTGTGTTTTGGTCTGTTTTTCAAATACTATTAGCAATAGGTCAACTATAATTGGTGTATGAATTGATTGTAAGGTGTACATGTCTGTCTAGCCAGTATCATCTGACCTTGACCTCATTTCCATGGTTCATTGGTCAACATTAAGTTTTTGTGTTTTGGTCTGTTTTTCAATTACCATAAGCAATGGGTCAACTATATTTGGTGTATGGAATAACTGTAGGGTGTACTTGTCTGTGTGACAGTTTTTATCTGACCTTGACCTTGTCATGGATCTTCATGGAAAATTGAGAATGGAAATAGGGAATGTGTCAAAGAGACAACCCGACCAAACACACAGCAATAATGTTAAGTTTATGTGATACTTGTAGTAAAACCTTTATCTTTAAGACTTTCAAAATAAAATCAATGGTCAGTAAAACAGGTGAGACATTTCAGTGTGTGCACTCTTGTTACAATATCACAGTTCAAATGAGGCTCTTGAGGGTAATCAAGGTTATCATGCATGAACAATTGTCAAGATCGTTTGGGATATTGTATTCAAGGTTTTTAATATGCATGAAAATTGTATTTATGTTTACGTGTATTTATTTTCGCAAAAATACACCATCCGCGAAATTTGTGAAAATAAATACATATACAGTATTTTTAAAGGAGTAATGTCTCTTGAAAATATTAATTATATGGAAAATTTCATTGTAATATCAAAGGTTTATATCAGCAATGTCAGGGACGAGTTTGAAAATCAGATTTGATCAATTATTTTAACAGCAGTTATGTCCCTTACAAATGTAAATTCTATAGAAAATTGCTTGTAAGTGCTCTCATGTGTACAATTTTTGTCATATATTTATGTAATTCATATCGTAGGTTTATATCAGCAATGTCTCGGAAGAGTTTTAAAATCAATTATCAATCCAACCAATTATTTTCACAGTAAACATGTTCCTTAATTTTTAGAAATGTATAAAAAATTGCATTGCAAGTCTCAAGTGTACAGTTCTTGCTGGAAAATTTACGAAATTGATATCATAGATTAATATCAGCAATGTCTCCAGAAAGTTAGAAAGTCAATGCTGATCAAATTTTTTTAAAGAGTTATGCCCCTTGGAAATATTAATTATATAGAAAATTGCCTTGTAAGGGTGAACAAATCTTCATATCTCCCTAAGCCAAGGGAAACCAATGTTTTATTCAACTGCCTATACTTTATTTACTACTAAGTACCTGCACAAATAATATTAATTTACATACATTTTTTCTTATCCGCTTGTTTTCAAACTTAATACATCATAATTTAAAACATTGATAAACAGTACCGACCAAAAGTAAATTATTTTTGTTTTGTTTTCATATCTGAAATAATTTTGAATACGATAATGACTTTACTATTGCAATTTAAAAACTTTCAAAATGTTATGTACATTAGGAGCACATAACGTTGCACTAGGAAATTTCGGTGAATATGAAGTTTTGCACAATGTTAAGTGGAATGGTCTCAAACAATCAAGTATTGATTAAGCTAATTTAACATACAGTGGAGTAATACATGTTGTCTTGTGATTATCTTCTATAGGGAATGTTATGTTACTAGACAATAAATATATATAGTACTTTCAGCATAAAAAGAAATGTGTATTAAACTTTTATTTACCTACAGAATACTACAGACAGTACTACAATCCAGCTGACAGGGCTAACCCCTAACACAGAATATGATCTTACAGTTATATCAGCCAATGATGCTGGACAGAGTTTGATGTCACCAGACATTGCATTTCTCACGTTTGGTAAGCAATAAAATAATAGAAAGTCTAACACAGGAAGGTAAGCAACAAAACACCCCACAGTAAGCAAAATCCAGCAGAGAAAATAGAGGAAAGATTTATGAAGACGCACTACACAAGAAGCAATACCATCAAATTGAATATTTAGAAGTAAACAGTGATATAACCACAACAGAGTTTGAAATTAAGATTGGTGAACATTAATTTAGATGTTTTTCATATATATTTATGAACCATATGCAATTTGTCTTAAATAGATTTAATATATGAAATATCCTGACCAAATGTTTGTACATTTTAGATATATCACCTTCAGAACCTCCTATAACACCTTCACCAGGCCCTGTCTTGCCTTATAACCTGACTGGTATGTATACTATGGAGTTACTGCAAAATAAACATACAATAATAACCTTGGTGTTAGGTTAATATGTTACATTTGTTGATGTTCATCTTGAGATAGTATTTGGCTTTAATTTGGGATCTTAAGGCTTTTGCTTAAGGCATTATATTGAGTAAAGGTAAAACACTAATTTAGAATTACAACTAAGTGTCACTGGATATATGTATTCAATATATTTTGCTCCATTTATTTAAAATTTTATGTTATTTGTGTTTTCAGTGTTATATGTTTATATTCATATTTCATATTCATATTCCTCTTGATGTTTGACGACAAATAGTTTTGCGCTGCGTATTTAGAAATAGACTCTAGCTTTGTACGCTATGTTTGGCTATAAGTACTGATTATTTAAATCATGGCACAAGTATTTAAATTAGTACTATAGAAAGTGAATGCGATACTATATTAATATTTAAACATACCTGCCAACCCTCCCGTTTTGAGCGGGAGACTCCCGCTCAAATGGCGAAATTCGGGAAATCTCCCGCTTGCCGATACCCTCCCGCGCAGGAGTATAGAATCTCTCGCTTTTGGATATTTCAACCTTGAATGACAAGTCAACAATAATTACGTTTTTGTGACTCTGATGAGGGTTGTTTTTACCTGTAAATCACAGACCATGTGAAACTAAATGGCTTCACATGACAGCTTGGGTGTCAAACCTAGTACTAATTCACAATCATTAGGCCAATTAAAATTAATTGATAGATTTTCATCCTCGCCCGCCCCGATTTTTTTTATTTTGAAAAATTTACAATTTCCGGAATTTGTTCATTTCCGTTACCGGTAATCGTCAATAATTTTGTTTCATTCAAAACTTCCTGTTTCAAATTTCGGTTTTCGTACTTCTTCGAGTAATCAACCAAACATGTAAAATGATTAAGTCGACATATTTTGCTGCTCTATGATGACACCATATGATCGTCTACTGAGAATAGAGATTGATTATGAGAAGGGCGTGAAATATTCGGGTTACCAGTAATACACGGTGTCCAAGAATGCAAATCGCGGTATTTCACAAATTTCTGTGATTAGAAAACCGTGGATTTTATTGTATTTGTACAATGACTTTGTCTATGGAAATTTGGACTGTGAATGATATCCAAAGCGCAAGAATCGTGGAACACATTGGTACAAAAAACATGACTGGATTAAAGAAATTGACACAAGCACGAAGTTGTTAGATTTATGACTGTATACTATGTTCAAAAAATCGACAAAGCCCTTAAAATTTACACATGGCTGTCTTTTTTTGTTGACAAACAGCAAACACCCTCTGTCCCTATACCCTCATTAAGTCATTAAACAACTTCTTTTTTGTTAAGTTCATGTTTTACATTGTAATAGAATCATGTGCAAAACAGTGTAGCCAAGACCATTGATTGGCGCGCTAAAATATCCCATTGACTGGGTCAGATTAGGTGAACGTTCGTCTGTAACACCCACAACTCACGACGTATTTATTATAAACATTTAAACTGTGGGGTTACCGGGGTCTCAGTATATATACGAACTACAGTGCACAGTATATTATATACATATTTTATTTGCGATCATAAAATGTACGAAGTCGTCCATTACTATGTAAATTGGGTCGATTAAAAAAAAAGCTGAATATGTTTCTGTTGCCAAGGGTTTTTCACAAGTATAGTAGTTAGCAGAAAAGATCACCAAACTATACATTTTACCTATTCAAAAACGTAAATGCAAATTTCACAAGGCTTGATCCAAATAGCCTTCTTACTGTCTAATAACTTGCAAGTACGAAAAAGACAGGAAAGAAGTATATTTTGTCTATATGTTTTGTGTTTGCACACTTTTTAAAGTTGATCATGCATTCGTTCTAAAATAAAATTTTGACCAGATAAAAGTTAAAAGATGACATAATTGGACAACCGCAATTGTTAAATCGCTTTGACGTCCGAAAAAAAGATAATAATCAACACATCCATTGTAACTTTTAAAGCCAGTTAAATCCTTTTTGCTGACAGAACGTCCGATATCATAAAAAATCATTATCAAAACATAACAAAAACACAAGTAAAGAACGTTTAAGTATTCAATATAAATCAAAACACAAAAGTTATTCCTGATTAGTTTTTCGAATTATTTTATTCAGGCTTTGAGACCCTTTGGTGACCCCACAGTTTAAATGTCTATAATAAATACGTCGTGAGTTGTGGGCGTTACAGACGAACGTTCACCTAATCTGACCCAGTCAATGGGATATTTTAGCGCGCCAATCAATGGTCTCGGCTACACTGTTTTGCACATGATTCTATTATATTTGCATATTGAATAAGCACCAACCCTATTTTTTTCAACACTGTTTGAGTTTTCATTTTATTCTCAGACTGTACTCATAATACTTGTGTTGCATACCAATGCATTTGCTTCATTTTATGGGGACCACAAACCGTAGCTTGGAAAGCAAAATAAATTTGGTGTAGGCAGTCCAACTGAAGAGAGCATTTATCCACATTGTTGTTGTATACTATTAATAGGTTTCTAAAGCGGCAATGCAATTGCATGTAGAACAGTGGTTGCCAATCAGAGATATTTATTTAAGAATTAAAAAAAAAAATGAACGATTCTTTATACATGTATATACATGATATTAGCTTATTATTACACTTGCATGTATGAAGAACACATCAAAAGAGTGTTTCATATGAAATAAAATTTAAAAAATAAAATCCTCCCACCCGCCCCATTTTTTTCAAAAATCTGGATGAAAATCTACTAATTAAATTTAGTTGGCCTTATCGACTTTTGCTAAAAGCTTTGTGTTATACTTCAAAGAAATTTCGGGTTACTTCCCCTGTTTAATCCTGTTTTGAGTTACCCTTCTTAAAATAATGTGAATTGATAAAACAATATAAACTAAATACAAATTAAACAAAGAATCATAAAAGGATGGCAATTAAAAGATTTTGTATGCCTTTAGACAAAAAAAATAATTATATTTAAAAATATCTTAGAAGATCTCTACTTCTATTCAATGTTTATATTGAAATTTATAAGATATGTATTGAACCAATTGAAGTGGACTATATGAGTGCACACACTTATTGCACCATCTGAAGCAACATGATTGCACTCTGTATCATACAGAGGGATCTGGGGTGAAAAGTTGTCCTGATTGGATTCAAATGTAAAAGATGATGAAATAGGAAAGAAACAAACAACACACCTTCTGTAGGATATAACCATATTTAAAGAAACATAGTATATCTATTAACTCTTATATGTGTTTCGTAGATGAATAAATAAACACGTCAAATATTTCACTTGAAAATGTTGTTCGCGCAAAATCTCCCCCTCAGCTGTCATAGCTGAGAGGGAGATCTCCCTCTTTGAAGGTTTCAGAGGTTGGCAGGTATGATTTAAATGATATATATTAATATTCAAATAGCATGAGCTATGCATGAACTCAAAGCGCGGCAATACTAACCATATATATATATATACTAATAAGCACTTTTTGAAGTTAGTCACTGGTCAATGTATATCAGGAAGGGCGGATGATGAGAGTCGCCGCTACAGATACTTATAACAAAGTTACTATTTGGACGACTCATTTTATGCAGAAAATGGGCCACAATTAAATCCACTCCTATTTAGTCTTTTTGGTTTGGTGACTATATCTTCACCCAGTTGGCGATAGATTTGGTGTTCCATTTTTTCTGCGACATAAGTACAAATTTTCTTTATGCTTGTATGGAGACTTTGGCAAAACCAGAAAATCAAATATCCACGAAAATTTTCTTCCACAGTATCTTATTCTTAGCTGTATTGATTTTGCAGCATACTTTCTACTATAATTGAGATATTATTGTCTTGACCAATATTTTGCTATAGTCAGGTGAATCTCATATAGAGGAGGATATGTCTAACTATCTATATTTGGGTCAATCTCCACTGCCTTTTTCTTTGCGTAATAGGTAGTACTAAGTTATTAAATTAATTGTATTTTTATATTTTACAGAATGTTGTATGGAGAAAAGCCTCAGTCAGAAATGTTTGAAATTGTGCGACTATGATTTTATAATTAGTGCTTCTACTACAGAATTATATACCATAGCACTGGAATGTAGTAATGATTTTGATACAGTGATATTATGTGGGGCAGGTATGCAGTCAAGGGTATAACTTAAATAATAGATGATAGCGGATATGTTCCTAATGTCGTAACTACAATCCCGTTCCCTTTTCACGAATGTGACCTACTGAATTAGACTGTTTACCAGGTTTGTACTAACATGAGCAACACAACGGGTGCCACATGTGGAGAAGGATCTGCTTACCCTTCTGGAGCACCTGAGATCACCCCCAGTTTTTGGTGGGGTTCGTGTTGCTTAGTCTTTAGTTTTCTATGTTGTGTTTTGTGTACTATTGTTTGTCTGTTTGTCTTTTTCTTTTTAGCCATGGCGTTGTCAGTTTATTTTCGATTTATGAGTTTGAATGTCCCTCTGGTATCTTTCGCCCCTCTTTTAAATAAGTTAACAGAGAAAAATAAGATACATTTGTTATTGTGGACTAAAAAATCAAAAAATTGTGATAGCATTTGTATGTTACATGTTTCAAATGGGATAAATACATCCTTTGTTTTGTTAAATTGTATACAAGTTCTATTGATATTATTATTGTCTTTATGTATACAACACTTTAGAAAGATATAACAGTTCATAGTTTGCCAATCATGTATAGTACACCTATGTTATTACAGAAAAAATATGCCTATAATAACTAAAGGGAGTTATGACTCTATATCACTTTAAAGCCTTTGCTCAGACATATATCATGCTTAATCACAATGTATTTTAATTTGTTGTAAGAAATAAGGATCAGAGCATATAATGAGGTTCTGCACAAGCTTCCAAGTAATTCCAAACTGTCTCATATAATAAGTTACATGCCTGTAATAACTAAGTCTTGTTATTATAGCTAAGTTTATCGCTTAAAAGCCTTGTCTCATTGATTCACCATGGTTGATAAAAAATGTATTAATTTAATTGGAAAATTAGTTATCAAGGCTATGTATTAACCCTTTCACCGATAGCCGGCCTGACAGAAGCTACTCTGAGACGATGGCTTCCCTGGCTATTATGACACAAGTGGGAGATCTTCATATTAAATATCAATAAAAACTTGTCTGTAGTTATTTATCATTTTATGTCTTTATATTATTCACTTACACCATGGACACAGTTTTGTTAATGTTTTGATCATTTTTTCTTCATAAAAAATCAAAATTTGCAAATTTTCAGCATTAGAGAGATGAAATTCTCGAAATTCGACTTTTTGACCCAAAATCGTAATTTTTTAACCCAAAACAGCAAAAGTTTGAAAAATTCAACAAGGTTGTACAAATTCCTTACACTGAACGATGTCCATTCCAAGTGTTTTTGTACATAAAACGGCATTTTATGTCAAAAAAGTATACTAGTCTGGCTTCAATTCTTCCATATTCTTTAAAATAAAATGTTTCCTTATTTCAAATTCTAGTAAAATCCGTAAATTTCATCTGATTTTGACACGGTTTTCAACAAACGGAAGCACCATGTTTACACTTTCATCCGGGTATTCAACAAAGAAAGATAACTTGTGTTTTCAATGTTTTTAGCGGGAAATGTAAAAGAGGTATTCCGATCCCGGTAAACCGGGACTCATCGTCAGCTGTCTGAAGCGTGAATCCCGGTTTAGTTACTGTGCAATGTTTCAAGAATTCCTAAGTGCCCACTAAAAATAAAAATATTTATGATTTATTTAACAAATAACAAACATGTTACTACAGATTTAGAAAATGGTAGAAACAAAGATGAGACAACTCATGAAAGTATGTGTAATAACACATGTATCTTATTTTTCTCTAATAACTTATTTAGATTATACCCTTGACTGGTATGTAGGACAAATCATCTCTATTAGGTGAATAATCAGTGGCGGATCCAGAAATCTTCATAAGGGGGGTGGAGCACTGACTGCCATAAGAGGGGGCCTCCTGCTCCAGTCATGCTTTAGTGGTCCCTAAATAATCAACCAAATTTTTCCCACAAAAGGGGGGGGGGGGGTCACTCTGGGCTCCCCTTAAATCCACCTCTTGATAAATCTGTTTAATAAAAACTTTCATCAAACAACCATAAGTCTTTGCAGCTAATTTTAATGAAATTCCTTGTAATCTCATTGACTGCTTTATGTCTTATATCGTGAAATCTTCACATTTGTCTAATTTTTTGCTATTTTTTTTAAGTAGACATCAGGTAATGAAATTTAACCTACCTGATCATTTCACTGATCATTTAAATGTTTTGTACAAGGCCATGCAACACAAATAATGAACACAGCTAAATATGTTTTTGCCCAATAAATGCAGAGTAGTCAAAGGAGTTAAAATCATATGATTCTTCTAATGATACTTTTTTGGAAGAAACCACATTGTAGTTTTTTTTAATAAAAATAGAATATTCTTTTAGAAGCATTTAATTTAGAAATTGTTAAGTATATTAGTAATAAGGCTGTCCACTTGTTTATATTAAACATAGTTACAATCAAACATTCAAATTTTGGAAGACAGATAAATCAGTGTTTTAATTATTTTGAAAATACAAATAAATGTCTCAGAAGAATTTCAAGTTTGCCATTTTAGACATTGCAAGTCTCATGGCACTAGAATACAGGTGAAAACAGGTCATTTGATTTAATCCCAGAATACTAGTATTTGATGACCCCTACTGTTTTTGAAAAATTTCTGGTGAGTTGCAAAATACGGGTCAGTTGACAGGTATGGTGATCTGATTACATCCAGCATTTTTCTGAAATTTAAAGTTTTTGTTAATACTAAAATATCAGTTAATGAGTACATTAAGACATCAGATATATAGTACTTGCTGAAATTTACCTTTTGTATGATATAATCTTAAGCTAGAGAAACTATATTTTACAGATGGTAGAGATCACACCCAGTGTTGTAGAGAGAGACAGATTCCAGAAAATTGTCTTAATGTTTGTAAAGGAGATATGAATAATGCAGATATTTTGTGTGCATTCCAGGCGCCAAAAATTACTCAGTGCTTTGTAGAAGGGATAGGTAAGTTGTATTGGTAATAATTTAGAAAATTTATTTTTGAAAGAGGACAAGAAAAAGGTGTGTGAACATAAGACTTTTTAAAAGAAGTGAAAGTTAAACGATGAAGCAGGAATATTATTTAAATACATAGAAATGGAAAAACTTCAACATGACTTTTCTAGAGACTGCCTAAAATACTGTGATGCAAGTTTGTTTATCATGTTTATACTTATGTTTTGTTGTCAACAGATTTTGCTACTTTTGTTTTATTATTGTTTGGAAGATACAAATTTTATACAATTTTGTAAACAGTAATATATATATATATATATATATTCATTTGCTTTATAACTGTTATAAAAAATAATTGAAGTAACCATTACAGAAGATAAAATTACCTTTTTCAGTTGATCAGCCAAGACCTCCATCCAGTGTTAGTATAGCTCAGATAACATCACACACTGTCACTGTGTCATGGTCTCCTCCTACAGGTGGACCAAAGGCTGAATCTTATTATGTCTATTACAACAATCCTGTGAAGAAAGAACCACAGGTAATCCTAAGTTAAGATTGTATAACTTTAATGTTGTCTTGGCTGAACTCAGTTATCATACTATAACAAAAAAATTGTCACAAAAGCTTAAAGGTAAAGGAGTGATGTATTTTATCTTAACAATCCCTAGTTGCATATTGATAAGCTACTTTAAAAAATGATTATTTTGATAAGAAAATTAAACAAAAACTATTATTTTGTTATATCATGTTTTAATAATCAATAATTTTAATGTGTTTGTTTTTATGTTATTTGTTTGCTGTCAAGTTAACAATACATCTTGTATTTATATATTTGTGAAAACCTTTCTTGATTAGAAATTTTAATTTAAGAAATTAAACTTTCTTTTTGAAGTTATTAGTATATCATATTTCTGAAAAAATATGTTTAAATATCGTTAGTCTGAAACATAAAATCTGTCAGCATTGAATATTTGTCTTGTACTTTTGACTAAAAATTTCCAAACCCTTTTAATGCAATGACACAGAACTTCTTTATGTCTATATTACTTTAATAAACAAACCTTTTTTCATATTTCAGGATAACAAAATAATGACAAACAAGACCACATATATTCTACAGAGCTTAGAAAGTGGATATACGTATGATATTTATATAGTATCTGCTAACTCGGAAGGATTCAGTATCCCAAGTCCTTCTTTATCTGCATTCATACCACCTGATGGTAAGTTGACCTGTCTTTATTATATGTGGTTTCTGATAATTAAATTACTGGTACAGCACTCTATTATATATAAAAGGATATATGTATCTTTTTAATGCTCACACCAAAAAATGCCAAACACGTTAATATATACAGTTGACTCTGCTTAATTGCATAATTCGGTCTTTTGAAAGACCATCCAGTGGTGTTACAATCGTAATCAAGCTTATGGTGGTTTGTTTTCATTTTTACTTAATAAGAGATAAAGATATGATTTAAAACTTATATGCTAAACATTTTATTTTTGTCATTAATAAAAAATGTATTAACTTCTGATGCTCATATTTTTCTCACATACAGCACTTGTGTCAAACAAAAACTTGTGAACGGCCCCCTTATTACTTTGCATATGTAGAAACAATATTACACTCTATGCAATTGCAAGCTTTAACAATGCAGTTTGATGTTTCATTCCAAAAATAATGAATGATTTAAAGATCAAGAACTAGTTTTATTTTTATTTCTTTGGTATAGGAAGAAAATGGTTTATTATCTTTGTTGAAAGATTTAAAACACTATGATATCTTACATAAGGCATATATATTTTATAAGAATTTAATACTGTACATGTGTATCTGAGCTCTGCATCTTTCTTCAGTATTTCTTTTACCTTGATCTTGTTTGATCCTGTAATTTCAGATTTCGGATATAAGCATAATCTTCTAAATTGTATAATATTGTCTTACATATAGGCTGTGCAAATAACCGAAATCCACTGTAGATTAAATGGAATAATAAGTCCATTATATCAGACCGTAAGTGTTTCAATTGATCAATAAACATATCAGAAAGTGAAATAAAACTACGATAGTAGTAGGGGCATTATGTTTTCTGGTCTGTGCATCTGTTTGTTCGTACGTCTGTCTGTCCCGCTTCAGGTTAAAGTTTTTAGTCAAGTCAGGTTAAAGTTTTTGGTCAAGGTAGTTTTTGATGAAGTTGAAGTCCAATCAACTTGAAATTGTAAATAGTACACATGTTCCCTATGATATGATCTTTCTAATTTTAATGCCAAATTAGAGATTTGACCCCAATTTCACGGTCCACTGAACAAAGAAAATGATAGTGCGAGTGGGGCATCCATGTACTATGGACACATTCTTGTTCAATTTTCTCTATTGAAATATTGACATTTTCTCTGAAATTTGACACAATCTCCAAACTAAATATTCAACAACAAGTCGGATATGTAATTTTTTGATAACAAACATAATGCTTATACTATAATTGACAAGGATACATCACAGATCAGGTGATGTTTTACCTAATGAACTGATGTTGCTTTTCTACTCAATAAATGATCAAAATGATAATATTACTGTCTAGCAGAATATATTGAACTTTCATTCAAGAATTAGCTGTCCTGTACAAACAGATGAACAAAATAGTCTGCAAAGTGGAAATAAGAAGTCACACAAACTAACGAAAATTGAATGTAGACTAGTTAACCGGATTTTTATACGACCGCAAAAAAATTTTGCGGTCGTATATTGGTATGACGTTGGTGTCGTCTTCGTCCGAAGACACATTGGTTTTCGAACTCTAACTTTTAGTTTAAGTGAATGGATCTCTATGAAATTTTACCATAAGGTTCAATACCACAAAAGGAAGGTTGGGATTGATTTTGGGGGTTACGGTACCAACAGTTAAGGAATTAGGGGCCAAAAATAAGCATTTTTGTAACTTCCAGACATAACTTGTGTGTTAGTGTATGGATCTCTCTGACATTGTACCACAAGGTTCCATATCACAAAGGGAATGCTGGGATTGATTTTGGGGGTAATTGACTCTAAATTTTAGGAATAAGGGGCCAAAAATAAGCATTTTTCTAGTTTCCAGACAATAACTTGTGTTCTTGTGTATGGATCTCTCTGAAATTGTACTGCAAGGTACCATACCATAGCATAAAGGGAAGGCTGGGATTAATTTTGGGGGTAATTGCCTCAACATTTTAGGAATTAGGGGTTAAAAAGGGGCAAAAAAACAAGCATTTTTCTAGTTTCAGGACAATAACTTGTGTGTAAGTGTATGGATCTTTATGAAATTGTACTACAAGGTTTCATATTACGAAGGGAAAGCTGGGTTTGAGTTTGGGGGTAATTGCCTTAAAAGTTTAGGAATTTGGGGCCAAAAAGGGGCCAAAAAACAAGCATTTTTCTAGTTTCCAGACAATAACTTGTGTTCAAGTGTATGGATCTCTCTGAAATTGTACTGCAAGGTACCATACCACAAAGGGAAGTCTGGGATTGAGTTTGGGGGTGATGAATCATAAGGGGGTTCAAATAATTTGGGTGATTTTTTTTTTCTTTTTTTTCTGTAAAATTTTCCATTTTAAATTGGTTATTTCTGATTTATATATAAAAGCAACTAATAATGATTTGGTTTGAATAGGTAAATTAAAATTATTTAAGTTCTTAGACCACATTCATTCTGTGTCAGAAACCTATGCTGTGTCAAATATTTAATTACAATCCAAATTCTGTGCTGTATCAAGCTTGAATGTTGTGTCCATACTTGCCCCAACTGTTCAGGGTTCGACCTCTGAGGTCGTATCAAGCTGTGCCCAGCGGAGCATTTTATTTTATTTGGAGATGTACGGCGGGCAGGCGGCTGCCAAACTGTGTCTGTTCATTAACATGAAAACGCTTTGACGAAATTTTATCAAATTTAGATATGTTGGTTCCTGTGACGAAATGAAGGTCAATTTCAATTTTTACGATTTTAGCTTTTCTTATTGTTAGACCTTTCAGTAGCCAAAAGTGATATTTATTATATAATTGAGTAATTTCCCTTTGAACAGAAATGGTGTAATTAATAAGTTTATGTATAGATAGTCTATCAATGATTGTATCTGTTCAATTGATTTTAGTCAGGAGCTGTCAAAAATATCTTTATAACTATTTTTTTTAAGTCATGTGTGTTTTGAAGGTAGATGTCACAGTTGTTATGTGGTATTTTATTTTTGTTGTGTGTGTTAATGTTTAATTTTTACTTGATCCTGTTTGGGAGTCCAGATTTGCAAATATTATTTTCATTAGATAATAATCTATTTTTATTAAAGGATAAATTTCATTACATTACATTGTGTAGATAAAGTTGTTGACATTGATAGATAATTTTTAATTCTGACAGAAGAACATCACAACAGTTTCTGAAATTGCAGTGTACAAGTCAATAATACCAATATTTAAATCAGTTTGCTTGATGGAATCTAGTTGTAGGATTCCATCAGGGTCAGTAATTACTTTGTAAATTTCAGCTACTTAATAGCCCACCTAGCACAAAGGGCCAAGTGAGCTATTCTCATCACTAGTTGGAGTCCATTGTTATCCGTTAACTTTTACAAAAATCTTGCCTCTGATACTACTGGGCCAGTTGGATCCAAACTTTGCCACAATCTCCCTTGAGGTATCTAGTTTAAAAATTGTGTAAGACAATTGCTAAAAATAGAACATAGAGGTAAAATGCAAATTTTGTCTATTATTTTTAAAACCACTATAGAAAGAGAAAATCTGACATGGTCAGAATGTTGTGATCTATTTACTGTCCATTTACGTCAAAACTGTCAGACAACTTCTTATAGGAGTTATTGCCCTTAAATGACGAATTTTACCATTTTTTGTCGAGCCTGCAACTTTAGTCGCAGAAAGCTCGACATAGGGATAGTGATCCGGAGACGGCGGCGTTAACTAACTTCTTAAAAGCTTAATATTTCAGAAGGTAGAAGACCTAGATGCTTCATTCTTTGTATATAGATGCCTTATGATATGAAGTTTCCATCTGGCATATGTCTATTGTCCTTGATCTCATTTTCATGGTTCAGGGACTACTTGAAAAAAAAGATTTTTTGTAATGTTAATTTCTCTCTTATTATGAGTAATAAGATAACTATATTTGGTATGTGCATACCATGCAAGGTCCTCATGCCTGTCGGACAGTTTTCACTTGACCTCAACCTCATTTCATGGATCAGTGAACAAGGTTAAGTTATGGAAATATTTTACGATGAACATGTCAGTCTGGCAGGTTTTATTTGACCTTGACCTCATTTTCACGGTTCATTGCTCAATGTTAAGTATTTGTGTTTTGGTCTGTTTTTCTTAAACTTTAAGCAAAAGATCAACTATATTTGGTGTATAGAATGATTGTAAGGTGTATATGTCTGTCTGGCAGGTATCATAGGACCTTCACCTCATTTTCATGGTTCATTGGTCAATATTCAGTTTTCCTGGTTTTGGTTTGTTTCTTTTATATTATAAGCAATAGGTCATCTATATTCTGTGTATGGAATGATTGTATTAAAGGTGTACATTTATTTCTGGCTTGGTTTACCTGACATTGAACTCATTTTCTTGGATCATAAATGTTAATGTGATACTTGTAGTAAAACTTTATATGTAGGACTATCAACATAAAATCAATGGTCAGTATAGTAGGTGAGACATTTCAGTGTGTGCACTCTTGTTTTCATTTTTGCCTATTATTTTAATAAAACTATAACAGGAAGAGATCAATTTTAAAAAGCTAAAATGATCAGCAAGACAAGATTTACAAATAAGTCATCATGGTTGAATTCATCAGATAACTCCTTATTTAAGTTGTTGCCATTTAATGACAATTTTTACCAATGTAATAGGTAGATAGACACTTTAAGAAGCCAAAATGATCAGTAAGACAAGATCTACAAATGAGTATACTAGCCAAAATCATCAGTTGACTCGTTATAGAAGTTATTGCTCTTTAAAGAAGATTTTTTACCAAATTGGGGGTTTTTGCCTATTATCTTGAAAACTATGATAGATATATAGACTCTTTAAATAGCAAAAATGATCAGCTAGACAAGATCTACAATATAAGTAAAATTGTCAGCTAACGACTTAATTGAGTTCTGTTTTGGCAAAAGCTAAAGAAAATAGACAGAAACTGTAAACAGCAAAAATAATTAGCAATGCAAGATCAACAAAAAAGAGATTTTAGTCTTGAATTCTATTCTAGTTTACAATGTTGGAGAGCTTCCATTATTGAAGATGCACATATACCTAGGTTAGTGACACAGGCTCTTTAGAGCCTCTAGTTTTTTATTATCATCAAACCATTTAGAAATATTTTTGTTTGTTTGTAGATCATTCATTCAATTGCAGTGATGACTTTGCAAAGTATTCCAACAACAGCATTGATCTAAAATCAGTTTTATCAGTAAAGAAATACACTCAAACAACAGTGGGCATCTGTAAGCAGAAGTGTTTAGCAGCAAACTATGGAGATCAGTGTACTGGGTTTAGGTTTAATACTTCTACTTGTTTGCTGGTCATAGGAAAGCATGGAAACATAAGACAAGAGGATGGGGCAGATTTCTATGCCAGGAACTGTGATTTCAAGAGTATGTTATAAGAATTTGCTTATTGTAATTCCAGGTCATTGCTTATTATTGAATATTGATTTAAGTACATACATATGAATAAAAGAAGATTCTCGGAATACACCAATAAGACAGCCACCCAATGATACAAAAAACAAAGAGGCGACTAGAGGTCAACATACAGTTTAAAACAATAGACAGGTGTCTACATGTCAACCTCTTAATTGTCTGCATTCTAAAAAAGTTGTGCATGAATTTAAGAGAGACTATCAAAGTTTTTCAATCAACATCAAATTATACAAAAAACAAAAAACGTTAAGATATAACAAAAGAAAGCAAAGGACAAGGTTCTCTTTAGGCCAAATATGGCCTTGAATTTCAACTTTATCATAAAATTTTAAAATGGCCATAATTTGGATGGATCTTTTTCAAAACCCTTACTTTTTAGGTTAACAAATCTTTTCATTAAAGAACATTCTAGGCTTCAAAGTCAGCACATTTTGGATATATTGTCATTATGGTTTTGTGCATTTTTCTGACCTAAATGTTTGTGGAAACCCTTGGCCCCAACCTAGGATCCAATATGTTCAGCAGCCAAAAGTTGCCAATGATGATATTGAATCCTTAGACACAAACACTTTCTGGATCAAAGGTGACGGCCAAAATTAATTATGTTAAAAACTGTTTTAAAAAACAAATTATTAAAAATTTGACCAAAACTGACGTTACAAATCAAATAATGCATACTTGAGGGATCATTACCTCATCATTTTTGTCGAGCCTGTGACTTTTGTCGCAAAAGCGAGACATAGCGATCCTACATTCTGTCGGCTGCTTCCACAAATATTCACTCTGTGGTTTAAGTTTTTCAAATTTTAATAACTTTCTTAAACTATCCTGCATTTCAACCAGACTTGGACAGAAGCTTGTTTATGATCATAAGATAGTATCCAGAAGTAAATTTTGTAAAAAAAAAAATCCTGTTTATCCATATTTTACTCATAAATGGACTTAGTTTTTCTGCCAGTTAACATTACATTCACTCTGTGGTTTAAGTTTTTCAAATTTTAATAACTTTCTTAAACTATCCTGGATTTGTACCACACTTGGACAGAAGCTTGTTTGTGATCATAAGATAGTATTCAAAAGTAAATTTTGTTAAAAAAAAATCCTGTTTTTCCGTATTTTACTCATATATGGACTTAGTTTTTCTGCCAGTCTCAACATTACATTCACTCTGTGGTTAAAGCTTTCAAAATTTTAATAACTTTCGTAAACTATCCTGGATTTGTACCAAACTTGGACAGTAGCTTGTTTTGATCAAAAGCTAGTATCTAGAAGGAAATTTTGTAAAAATTTATTTCCTGTTTTTCCGTATATTACTTATAAATGGACTTAGTTTTATTCCAGTTAACATTACGTACAGTCTGCAGTTAAAGACCAAACAGCCTATTGTTGATGAGCATCAACTAACGCAACTTGGTAGTGACATAAAAGCTCTATGACGTTGTTTCTAGCCATGAAAAACACCGTCAAATTATAACGTCCTATTTCGCGTTTTTCACGGATTCCAACATGGTGTACGCTTAAAACTACGTCTTCCAAGAAAAGTGGAATTAAGCGTCGCACTGATACCTAGTGGAAATTAAACACAAATGGACACAAAAGATACTACACTATCTGTAACCTCCGTTCTAATAAAAATAATAATCAAAATATAAATTTTGAACTCGGCTTTTTGCATTTGCGCCGATCTGCATTTCACTTTTTTTCTTTCACTTGCGCCGATTTTGTCTTTCATTTGCGCCGATTGTGTACAGGTAAATTATAGGTTAAAAGTAATTTTTTTATTTTTATAGGTTAAAAGTTATTTTTTAGCTCACCTGGCCCAAAGGGCCAAGTGAGCTTTTCTCATCACTTGGCGTCCGTCGTCCGTCGTCCGTAAACTTTTACAAAAATCTTCTCCTCTGTAACTACTGGGCCAAATTTAACCAAACTTGGCCAATATCATCATTAGGGTATCTAGTTTAAAAAATGTGTCCGGTGACCCGGCCAACTAACCAAGATGGCCGCCATGGCTAAAAATAGAACATAGGGATAAAATGTAGATTTTGGCTTATATCTCTGAAACCAAAGCATTGAGAGCAAATCTGACAAGGATAAAAATGTTTATTAGCTCAAGATCTATCTGCCCTGAAATTTTCAGATGAATCGGACAACCCGTTGTTAGGTTGCTGCCCCTGAATTAGTAATTTTAAGGAAATTTTGCCTTATTTGGTTATTATCTTGAATATTATTATAGATAGAGATAAACTGTAAACAGCAATAATGTTCAGCAAAGTAAGTTCTACAAATAAGTCAACATGACCAAAATGGTCAGTTGACCCTTAAGGAGTTATTGCTCTTTTATAGTCAATTTTTAACAATTTTTCGTAAATTTTTGTTATCTTTTACAATCTTCTCCTCTGAAACTACTAAGATGAATTTAACTAAAGTTGTAAACAATCATCATTAGGGTATGTAGTTTAAAAATTGTGTTTGATGACCCCGCCCTCAAACCAAGATGGCCGACATGGCTAATAATAGTACATAGGGTAAAATGCAGTTTTTGGCTCATATATCTAAACCCAAAGCATTTCTAGCAAATTTTTCAAAAACAAAATTGTTCATTAGGTCAAGATCTATCTGCCCTTAAATTTTCAGACCATTCAGGCAACCCGTTGTTGGGTTGCTGCCCCTGAATTGGTAATTTTTAGAAATTTTTTCAGCTTTTGGTTATTATCTTGAATATTATTATAGATAGAGATAAACTGTAAAGAGCAATAATGTACAGCAAAGTAAGACCTACAAATAAGTCACATGACCAAAATGGTCAATTGACCCCTTAAGGAGTTATTGCCCTTGATAATAAATTTTTAACAATTTTCATAAATTTTGTAAATTTTTACAAAATAATTTCCACTGAAACTACAGGGCCAAGTTCATTATAGATAGAGATAATTGTAAGCATCAAGAATGTTCAGTAAAGTAAGATCTACAAACACATCACCATCACCAAAACACAATTTTGTCATGAATCCACCTGTGTCCTTTGTTTAATATGCACATAGACCAAAGTGAGCGACACAGGCTCTTTAGAGCCTCTAGTTTATTTATCATATAAACCTCTTCCGTTAGCCAGTTGTACATATGTTATGAATTGTCAGTTATAACATGTATATAACTGTTGTTCCCTGCTCACAAAGGGGAGGTGGGAGTAGAATTTCGAGCAGGATAAGTCAATTTAAAAGATATTTGTGCACTCTCTTTACATCCACTAAAATCACGGAGTAAAATTCTATTTACAGCATTACAAAGCACCACAATAAAATCCATAAAAATGTAATACTAGTACAATGAATTATTATCTTGCCGAGAATTTATTTGCAACACATCTGATATATTCCTTTCTTGTCATTTTATCTTTTCTATACTTGTTGTACTTGCCAATAACGAAGTCCATCTTTTCTTTCTTGTGTCAAAACGAAGTTCTCGAACAGTATGACTAAAATTATCTTAAACATAAGGGAACACTATTCATATCCATATATTACCATGCAATATACATTCTAAGTTTACTACATGTACATGTATTTACTCGTATAGCAAATAAAGTATCTGGGCTAGTGATAAAAAAAATAAAATAGGCGCTAATGAAAGAATCAAATCGGCGCAAATTTAAAGATCGAAAATCTCGTACGCCCGTGTAACTTTACACTGCAAAATTTATATGACTTACGCTTAGAATTTTAAATTAATATGTGATTTTCAAAACTGAGTTTTCAGAAGGTTAGGCCGATAAACAATACTTTCTTGAAGTTTCGAAATACTGACAACGTATGCATGTTGAGATTAACTTATTTCTTAAAGATTCTCGTAAAATAATGGTGATCTTGCAATGAAGTTAAATCTTATCTATACTGCTTAATTGACAAAATCTTATAGTTAAAATAAAAATGATAAATGTTAATTGTCTTTTGTCATTTGTTTCATTTCAAATTGTCTCAAGGAGAAATGATAAAGATTTTGCCTGATCTCACAGAAGCTTAAGGCAAAAAATATAAGAAATTAATATATTCAGTGAATGTGAATTAAAATAAAAATTTACAGTTTTTAAAACTAAACTTGTTGTAAATTTAACTTATGACAAAAACAATTGCTTCAAGAATAAGATCCAACATAAAATTTCTCACTTTCAAAAAGCTACAATGACCGGAAAGATTGAAAACAAATTTCGATTTATTTTCAATGCCAGCAATCAATACATACAACCTTGTCTTTGTTTTAATTTCCAAAATGACCTATTTAGATTCATAATATTTCATCCTGTTTTGAGAAATACTTTATAGTTTTCAACGGAAAATTATTTCTTAGATTCAAAATCAATTTTTGAATTAAAAACTTATTTGTATTTTATATTTACTGTCTAGTTTATTCAAAACACGTAAGGTAGTTATAACGGGGATCGTATTTTATGATAGGTAAAATGGATGTAAAACGTTTTAGAATCAAAAACTTTAATTCATATATTATACCTATAATTTTAATTTTCTTATATTTTAAATATTCAGAAATAATGAATCCACAAACTAGATGGAATAATTTGTATACGCTCGTCTTAGTCGCGACACATAATGGTATAAAGAAGTCCGTCCGTGCTAATGTCTGTCCGTCTGTCAACAGTAGCGAAAGCCTGAGTGCGCTAGGGCGAAGTTCTGAAATTGACGCGACAAAAAAACCCACACATAGTCAAATAGTCTGTAAGTTAGCCAGTGTCATCTTTCATTTCTCTTTTTATTTTCAATGATTTTGCTAATGAGAGGGAGATGACAAAAACAGACTTTCCTTTCTAAAGCGTCGTAAAAGGTTATTTCGAACAATTTTTCATTCCGACGGATGATGTTTCTGAAGGTTAATTTTGTGCGGCAACAACATCATGAGATCTGATACTGATACATACATGTGATCTCTTGTATTACCGG